ATGTACAGTGCATAGAGGCTGGACAGAATAATGTAGTGTATGTGTTTCATTCACATGGTATCTAAAAGCAAGCAAAGTCAGATTATACTTGTAGGGGCCTGTGTGCCTGTGGCACACCTACCAGGAGAACGTGGGAAGTGGCCGTCGCAGAGCCGGGATGGTGTACTGGCTGTGCGGGGTTGTGCGACTGAGGCAGATACTGAGGGGCTGGTTCTGGTCAGTTTCTTGACTTGATTAGAATCACTGCTGTTCACTTCCCAATCACTGAATTTTATATAAATTTTGATGTCCTTTTTAATGTGTGTTTCACAATTTAAAAAAAATTGAATTTTTATGTATTTTCAACATGTCTAGGAAGTGTAAGAAATATCTTTCAAAATTGGAAACAATGACTAAAAATGGGGGAAAAGGAAAATTTTTGCCATTAAAAAAATCCTAATAGTCTAAGTTCTTTGGAACTGAAGACATTATTCCTTTATTTTACAAGCACTCATGTATACCTTGTGCCAGATCTGAGCAATTGTCCAGGCAGCCAGCATTGATGGGGCGTTTGCTGCTCGGCCGCTTCACAGAAATGGGGTCTGCGGGGGGCGGCCATCTCGCGGACTGATTGAATTGGTGCGCTCCCTGTGCGTTTAAAACCGTGCACACGGGCCTTTTGAGTGCTTTCCGTTCCATAGCTTTCCTTCTAAAGGCTGCGATTCTGTTAGCTGGGAATGGTGTTCGGAATTATCATTATAGAATTGAACATGTATTAAAGAGCATTTCAGCTCTTTGTAGGCAGTAGGTTAAACACACAATCTTGTCAGGCATGGCCTCACTTAACACTCAGGCAGTAGAGACTCCCGAATCCAAAATTTAGTAGCATGCCTCAAGAGTCCAGAAATTGCCAGTCCCTTGGGATTTTAATCAGTCCTTATGTCAGACAGTATATCGTCATTATTTAAATATTTATTTAAACACATTTCTAATGAAAAATATCCTGAATACTAGATTTCTTTACTCTGTATGCAAACACCAAAGATTGTATGTGTATATGTGTGTATATATGTGCATATATATGTGTGTATAAATATATACGTGTGTGTATATCACCTTAATGTAGAATAAGTAACTAAAATTTTAAATGCATTATTTTTGGCTGATAGTTCTTATATCAGAACATAAGAAAATTGTATTTTATTTCATGCTGATGAGAGAATATAAGCCAAAAAAATCTATTTAAAGTTAGCTGCCTCTGTCTAATTTATAATTCATTTTAAAATATGTTTCTTAAGTATATATATTGTGTAAAAGAAAACCTGGATATATTTATAAAGTCTAAACATCATTGTTCTGGCCTCCTCAAGTTTCTTTTCCCTATCGCCTTCCCACTCCTCCCTTATTCTTTCTGTGTCCAGTTTCACCAGCAGATTTAGTAATATAAGCTAGAAAATACAAGGCAAATATGCAGGGCCTTCCAGGCAGTGATATATACCCAGAATTCTATACATGTTTTCTTGACTCGAAAGATAAGGCTGCTGATACTTTGTAAGTGAAACAATAGAACACAGGACTTTAAAGGTCTGTGTTGGTGTACGGACCATTATGAGCCAGTTTCCTCCGGCCCCAGGCAGTAAATAATCCTCAGGCCCCTTACCCAGCTTTGGGACCCTTCCTGGACTCGGGGTTGTGGAGGCACTAGCCAGACTTGTTACGGGACTTACCTAAAGGGTTATGGCAGTTTTGTTTACCCTGTTTCTTTGATTGTAAGGTCTAGGAATCTGTTTTAAGTAGCTCAAGCTACAGGGGAATTTCTTGGAAGAGTGTGGGCAGATGGTACCCAAGGCCGGAGGGGATCCCTGGTTTCCTGAAGGTGCAGCACCAAGACCCGCAGCTCGGGGTCTGCCTGGTGTGTCCTCTGCCCCCACGGCCGGTCGGCAGGGCCCCTCCCTGAGTTAACCAGCTGTGTGATCGGCACATAATTCCTCAGTGCAGAAAAAGCCCCAACTATGGTTTGTTCACGTCTCAGCAGGAGGAAATTTTGGAGCATTGTCGTGAAGGACATAGGTTGTGTCAAGTCAGCCTTAAGTGAGGAGTAGCTCAGCTGCTCATCGCAGCAGACCCCTTAGCAGTGTGTGTTTTTGGAGTGGACTTGTTTAAGGAACACAGCTAGGAGAAATCAACGTGAATGGTCTGTGCTCCTGAAATTCCAAATTACTTGGCACAATTGTGTTTTCGCCTTTAAGTTTGAGATGGCGACACTGCAAACTGTCAACCGCGTGTGTGAGAATAGAGCCCTTTAAGAGTCCCGTTCCCTTCAGAACGGAGCCGTAGCATCACAGAAATGGCCGTGGAGAGTACGCAGTGTAAGTACTCCGGATGAGCTTGTCCCCATTAAGAGCAGATTCCTCGTAGTGAGGTGACTTCTGCGACTGTCGTCTTCACTGAGCAAGTGTGTTCATGGCGGCGCACGTGAAGCAGGTGGGAAAGCCCGAAGCTAGCCTGTTTCTCACACGCCTCGCCTGGCCGCGCTGACGGGTGACAGCATTCCTCTCGTGAGTGCCAGCGGCCAGGAGGAGCCTGTACTGTTATGCTATGCGGTGGTGATAAAGAAGGCAGAAAAGGTCTTTTTATGGTAGTCGGGTCCTCAGAACACCTCTTCGTGTTCTGGTGATAAGAAGACACACGTTGGCTTTCCAGCAGAGGTGCATTAGCTTGTTATCTGCGGAGCTGATACAGACTCTCGGCTCCCCTCGCAGTGACGGGAACCCCTCTGAAGTGAAGGCTTGCAGGGCCGGGGGTGCAGAGCGCTGTCCTTCCTCCCGACGGCAGGTCGGGTTAACCCTGCTGTTGTAGGATGAAAACTGCATGTCATCGCGAAACACAAGCGCTATCCTTTTTCTTCTGCAGTTGAAAAGGTGTCCAACAAGGTGCATGCTCGCTGATCGCTATTACCGCAAGTGTGAGACTCTGAGTTCCCTGCTCTGAGACAGGTAGATCTGAGGGGAACGTCTGTAAAGCGCAGGCGCGAATGAACCTGCAACTTCATGCCCAAGTCTGTGTGTAGGGACCTGCTATCTTTGTTCTGTTCCCGGGGCTCTGCAGGCTGTGAGAGTCCACTGGGCACCAGTGTTCTGAGTGTTAACATCTCCCTGCAGATAGCGGCTGGCAGAGCTTTGGCAGGCAGAGCTTGCTGCCGTGCATGGGGGAGGGTGCGTGTCCTCAGCCTTCAGTTCTCCTCGACGGGACCTTCTATGGCTAAGTCTGCAGGACAGGCCCTGTGTTAGTTAGACCCTCGGCACTCGGGCCTGCGGGCCTGCGGTGCGGGAAACGGGTGCTGTGTTTGCTCCGTGCCCACGGTCAGTGCCTGGGCTGTGGTGGGGTGTCAGGCATTGCGGGGCGTTCCTAGCACATACCAGAGCGACTTGAGAGGCTAACATATCTGTACCAGTGATTTCTTACGGTTCTTTAAGCATGAAGAAAATCACATTGAAGTCAAGTGAAATTTGAAAATAATTTCACTTCAGGGAAACTAAGAAAAAATGCTCAAATCTTAATGTGTAGTGTGCTTACTTTCTACTTCTTTCAAGAAACAAAGGCATAAAATGAGCATTCACAATTATTGTAAGTCATGTTTTAAAGGATACCAAGATCTATTATTATGAATTGGTTAAAAGTATCTTCTTTAAATGTAATTTCAATCATTATTTATTAGTGAACTTATCTAGTACTAGTCTGCTGGTCAAACCACTTTTTCTGACTAAATTAGCTCTGTAAGGTAGGCTTACCCAGGAAATGTTAACTTCCTCAAATTTCTCTGTGCTTACTAGAAAATGAACAAATCTCAAAGCTATTTAAATTCTACTTTGAAATAAGTAATTCTTTGAAATCAGACCCAGAATTTTTTAAAAATATAGACGTTCTAGAAGTAAATTAGTATTCTATAGGTTGTCAAGCTCTTGGTTTTAAATACTTGACAAGTCATTTCATGATGACTTTAATTTAAAAAAATTATAAAAACAACTGTTCACTGTGTTTTACAGTATTAGGAAAAAGAAGAAAGTCATTTTGGTCCAGGAGATACTCTGGTGACATTCAATAAAATTCTCAAGAAAGTCACTTTTAGTGGATTACATCAATCCACGAAAGAGCTATATACAAAGAGATTGGGGAAGATACATGCTGAATAACTTATTTTTTGTTAATTTTAAAAATATGTAAGCTTGCTAATATGGTCATTCTACATAGGAAAGAGCCATTCTTGTCATATATTAAATAATTATTTGAGTTTTTATACTTCAAAATGATATAGGGAAATGATAGTATTTCAGAACAAATTAAAAGTGAAATTATCGGAATACTGTGCTGATTTTTTCAGGGCACTAGGCTCTCAGGCAGGGTAGAATGTCAGCAGATGACGTTGCTGAGGTGTTCACTTTATAAAGGTGCCATCACAACTTCGCAAACATCATTTGGGTACATTTCCGTTTCAGATCTCACACTCATTGGCCCTAGCAGATATGTTGACGAGGCTTTAATCAGGTTGGGTTGTAACCGTCAGAGCAGTGAGTAATTCACTAGTGTTCTCTTGGAAGTTTGGGAAGAAAACACCCGAACAAATAAATACTCCTTTGCTCTTCATGTGCGACGGGGGCATCACCCAGCTTCCCTCCCTGAAGCTGTAGAGCACATTGCGATCATTGACAACCATTTCAGTGGCCCCTTTACAACTCCATTCAGTCTGTGCTCTCTTAATGCGTTTGACAAAGAAACCCGTGGCAAGTGAGTATCATGTGTGTGAATTTTCCAATTGTATTTCAGACGTTAAGAAAGAAAGGCCTTAACGGGTGTGACAGCCCCGATGCTGACGATTACTTTGAGCACAGTCCGCTCTCGGAGGACAGACTCAGCAAACTAAATGAAGATAGTGATTTTATTTTCAAGCGAGGCCCTGTAAGTACTCTCGCTCCACCGCTCCTTTTTACGTGTTGATCCTTTCTGTTGACTTCGTCATCTAGGCGCTCAACAAGAAGGAGCACCGAGGGTGCGACAGCCCAGACCCTGACACTTCCTATGTGCTCACTCCGCACACAGAAGAGAAGTATAAAAAAATTAATGAGGAGTTTGATAATATGATGCGGAATCATAAAATCGCAGTGAGTACTAAAGTATGGTTTGTGCTTTTAACGCGTGCATGAAGAGACTGACCACACGTCTGTGTTTTCACAGTGGGTGACGGCAGCGATCGGTGGAAGGGGGAAAGGCAGCATTGTTTTGGTTTTATAGAACTTTAGAATAAAATAGCTGAAACCTTATAAGACACGTCTAGTCCCTTAAACACAGAAGTGAAGAGGAGCATCCTAAGCCAGGCTGGGCTGCTTACTATACCGCCTGTGCCTTTGGGCAGGCGCCGAAGACATCCTGGGCTCCAGCCCCTTCTCCGTACAGTGAGGGGTTGCCTCCCATACTTTTTAGGGTCTCGTCCGGCTCTAAATTTCAATGATTTTAACTGGAGGGTGCATATGCCTTCCCTCTCCCTCTCACGACTTTAAAAAAAAACATTTCATGTACTTCAAGTAGCTCTTGAGACTATAAAGTATGAAATGGTGGGATGTGCTACAAAATTTGGTGTTTCAAAATGATTTTTAACTACCTTGTGTCATAGTAGCTTACTCTTTGGCTCTTTATATAAATGTCCTCACACCACTCGGCAGCCATGTTTCCAAACTCCTTTGCTTTTTTTATTCTGTAGGTATGGAGGAAGAGAGCCTGGGTTCTATTTTAATTTAAGGAAACAGCATTCTTAAACTGGTTGCAAAACAAAGAGTTGGTTTAAAATTTTCCACGCTCACACATCTAACCATAATGGAACAGTATTTCTTTGAGCTCACGCGCCTTTGATAGCTCTTCAAAGAGCTCTCGCTGGAAGCCCCATTGGCAGGAGCTGCTTGAGGCGGCTGTTCTTGATCTGGTTTTCGAAGGCAGTGTATGTACGCAGGCCTCACGCAGCAGACTGGGTCCGATGCTGGCACGCGCTCCAGTGTCAGAGTGCTGCGCCCCGACGTAGGCACTGTGGACGAGTTTTCCAGGGTTGTCCTGACTGTACAAGCCGCTCATGGAAAATAGACTTAAGGGGCTATTTTTGTGCTAATACCACCATTGTTCTTAAAAAACAAAACAACAAAAACAATAGCTAACAAAAAAATAAAATCCCTTCTGACCTCATATGGATGTTGGTGAGCGTGCAGTTAATGTCAAGATGCAGGAGTATTGGTAAATAAGTGCTTTACCTTTGAAAACTTTTTAATCTTATATCCTTTGTTTTATCTGTTAGTGAATATTGATTTTCTGCCTGAGGTAATCTGTTGAATAGAGTACATAAACTATTTTATGTTCTTCCAACTTTGAATTAGCAGTGTTACCTTACTTTACAACAAAGTACTTTGAAAAAGTAGGAAGAGGGAAGGTTTTCTCTCATTTTAAATTATATGGAGGATTGTTATTTATCTTGGTTAACAAGTATATTGTAAATGGTCTATGGAAGAATGACAGAGGAAACAAATATCTTAAAGGGGGCATGGAATATTTTGGAGGGAAGATAGCATCGATAATAATTGTAATTTAATCACAATTTAAAGAGAGCTTGTCAGTAGTTAATTTTATTGTTTAATTATTTCTTTTCACTTTCATTACATTCAGATTGCATTGTGCTACATATATAACTTTATTATTATTATTATGTTTTTTTAGTCTTGTCCATTATCAATGTCAGTCATTTAAGTCATACCAGGCCTTATTTATAATGTCCAAAATTTTATGTATTAAGTTTATAATATTTGTATACACTTCCCCTTTTTATTATAATTGGAATCTCCCAATAGGAATATAATATTGTTAGACTAGTTTTCATTAAAGTACTAATTTATGCTTTCTTGGTAACATGATATATTTCATAATGTCTAAATTTGACAATATTTAATATCAGGTTCCAACATCTAATTTTCATCTCTATGAATGTTTGAAATATGTATTTACATACCTTATTTTAGTACATACGTATTAGGATATAAAAGATGGAAATGGAAAAGGTCCATGTTGAACATACTCATGTTTAAATACAATTCTAGAGCAAATACCTTGAATCTGCAAGTTGATTAGTGAGAACCTAGCCCCATCCTCCACGTTTAATAACTGGAGTTACCTTGTCTAGTTCAAGTTCATGTGTTACCAAACTTACTAAGTCATGGTGAAATGAGAACTAACAGCCTTCTCTTCCTTGTTCTTTCCTTCCAGCCCGGTTTGCCACCTCAGAACTTCTCGATGTCTGTCACAGTCCCTGTGAGCAGCCCCAGTGCTCTGTCCTACACGAACCCAGGGAGTTCCCTCGTGTCCCCATCTCTGGCAGCCAGCTCCGCGTTAGCGGACTCAAGCATGCTCTCTCCGCCTCAGGCCGCGCTGCACAGAAACGTGTCCCCTGGCGCCCCTCAGAGACCACCGAGCACCGGCAGTGCGGGTACGTGGAGGCGTCTGTTCTGCCAGCTCTTGAACAGAAAGGGGGGCAACCAGATTGCTGACATGAGCAGTTCCTGATGCTGCTACTCTCAATTTTACTGTTTCAGTAAGCAAGAGCCAGTCCTACACAACTGGCTGTCTCCGAAAGTATTTTTCGTGGCAGTCTGCTGTGACTCTAGCACTGTGTCAGGGCCCGTGGGGCCGCACAGACCAGCTGCCGTCCACGGCTTTCCTTGTCTTGGGAAAGACGCACTTGACAGGCAGGACATTAATTGGGACATCGTGAGACCAGATTTAAGGCTGAGCACAGACTGCTCATGTTAGACTACAGGACTAGCCCTGACTGATGGGAGTCAGTGTCTCCTGCCTGTCTCCCTGCCTGGGTCCGTTCATTTGTTCAGCAGAGAGTCGTGGGGCACTCGCCGCATTACTCCGAGCCCTGTCCTGGCCTGAGCCGTGCTCCACGAGCACTGCCCTTTCGTGTTGGTACATGCCCTCTGGTGCTGATGCGCAGGGGCGCACGCACGTCCGAACTGAGAGCTGAACCCGTATGCGGGTGTGGGCACAAGGAGGTTCCCAGTCGTGAGTGTGTGAAACAGAGTTTATTCTTGTGTTATTATCTATTAGTTATTATACTGCTCACTTTATACAGATAAAGTGTCTTACTGCGATGTTTCATATCCTCACTTACGGCTTACCCTTCAGGCGATGGTGGCTGGTGATTGAACCTGCTTCTGCTCCACGTTACTGCGAGTTCAGGCTGGGCTGGCCTTAGTTGTTGTGGTGTGGGGAGTGGGGTGAGGGTTCCCCCGCTGACGTGGTTCTCAGGCGTTCGGACAAGGAGAGCCGGTTCATACTCAGTCTGCCCTCTCCCCTCTCTCTCTGTGTGGCTGTCAGGTGGGATGCTGAGCGCTGCAGACCTCACGGTGCCAAATGGAGCTGGAAGCAGCCCAGTTGGTGAGTGACTTCCCGCCGTTGCACTTCATGGGCGTCCGTCCCGGCTGAGGGGAAGGGAACGCTGTCCCCCACACACGGCCCCCTCCCAGACCAGCAGGAAAGATACTGTTATTTGCATTATAAAGGAATTTTCGCATTTATTTTTGAACATGTATGATACATGAAATTTTATGTAACAAAGAATTACAACACACAAGAACAGACACAAGGTACTTCAGGCGCTACGCATGTATAATGTGCATCCTTATTTTTCCCTCAAAAATTTGGGCAAAAGAGTTCTCATCATACATGGCAAAATACGGTTTATCTGCCACTGAATTAATTGTTATTTTAACAGAGTGAAACAGATACGATCTAGTTGTAGGATTTTAAAACAAGTAACTAATGTGTGAAAGTTCATAAAGGCCTTACCAGTTATGTTAGGGCGGTTACACTTGGATGTGTATTTCCAAATATTTAGCGTCTTTTCACCTCTGCTTTAGTTCGTTTGCATTTTTCATGTATGCTTTTATCCCCCGACACTGTCCATCTTGCTCTCTTCTCCTTTCCAGCCTGTTTAAGGCTGCCATCAATCATTCCTATTTTATTTAAAGTTAATTTTAACTAGGTCTTGGTTTTATTCCCAAAATTATTTTTGCTTCGAGGAATGTAACTTTCTGGAGATGTCCTCCCATGCCTTTATTTTTCTTCATCCCGCGGGCGCCGCAAACGTAGTTTTTCTCCCATAAAACAAGTGTGTGCCGGTTCTCCCCTCCTCGTTTCCCCCTTTCCGCACTCAGTTCCGACTCCGTCTCTGCGGCCCAGTTCCCTGTGTTCCCTCCGGTAGTTTCAAAGTCGAACTTCGCCATCATCCTCACTTGACATGCTGCGTGTAATCGCTTAGTTGCTGCTTGTCTTTTTTTTCTTTTTCTTTTTTTTGTGTGCGTAATCCTCCTCCCACCTTTGTAGACCCTCGGGTCTAGAGGCTTGGACTAACCGCACATCTGGGGTCAGGCGCGGCGTCCTGGGCTCGTCCGGAGCGTCTCAGCGTGCTGCCCACTCACCCCTGCGTGCCTCTGTCCCACCGCGTTCCCTCCCCCTCCCCATCACGGGCAGCTGCTCTAATGTGGTCAGCGCTCATAGTCATGTTAACACCCATAAGGAGTGAGCATGAATTTTTATTGCAATTTAGAATTCAGTATCAAAATATTTTAAGTCCTTGGTGATTTATTTAAGAGCATTTTCATCCACAGAGGTAAATCCTGTTTCTCAGACTACATCTTACAACACATCAAGACTGGGCATCTTGATTCATTCTGTTACATACTTATTTTACCTGCACTAGGTCTAATTCTACTTATTCTACTCACTTAAATTATACCCTAAATCACATTTGTGTTATAACTGCTTTTTAACATGCACTTCCTCAGAATTTATATTCAACCAAGTAGACATCTTGTACCACTTAATTCAGATACCAACTGGAATTGTTTCTGTGCAATACTTAGAGCATATGAGGATTTAAAGTGTGCTTTGCTATAAATACTGCCCCCTCCCACCAAAATGAGTGGTTTCTCATAGGTCGCTCAGAAGTGTTGCTTTGGTGGAGTCGGACGCGAGGAGACAGCAGTGGGGCTCTGGCGGCGCTCTCTCCCTCCATCTGACTGGCGGCCCATGGGTGTGCACTTCGTGGTCCATCCTGGTCTTTAGGTGTTTGTTCTGTGCACCTGTCTGCGATGTGTCGTGTTAGTAGAAGTCTTAACAGTCACTGTACGTGCTGGTGGCATTGTAAGTTAGTAGCAGTCTTTCTTAAAAGTTTTTGGCAAGGTGTCTCAGTAGTCGTAAAATGTTTATACCTCTGAGCCCGCTAATCCCATTTCTGGGGGTCTCTCCGAAAGAACAAAACTAGATTACGAAAAGGTTCATTACCACTTTATCTTTTTGTTTTTGTTTTCTTCCCGGTCACCACTTCCCCAACTCAGCCATCCCCAAGAACTTTATTTATAGTGGTGAATAATAGGAGGAAATCAACATGTTCAAAAGTGTGAAAATTAAGTATATTACAATTTTCAACTGAATTCCTTTTGGGTTGTGATTTAAAACTATGCAAAAAAATGCATGTGGAAAATAAAATGGGGAACCTAAACTGATTATAATAGTTACACTAGGATGCTGTGAATATGTGTTTTCCCTCTTTTCCTAGTTTCTGAACTTTCTCTTTTTTTTTAAGAATTTTATTTATTTTCAGAGAGGGAAGTGAGGGAGAAAGAAAGAGAGAAACATCAATGTGCGGTTGCTGGGGGTCATGGTCTGCAACCCAGGCATGTGCCCTGACTGGGAATCGAACCTTCAACACTTTGGTTCGCAGCCTGCACTCAATCCACTGGGCTATGCCAGCCAGGTTGAACTTTCTATGATGCTATGTTGATAGCATACCTCTCTAGTCATAAAATTACTACAGTAACTTAGAGCATTATTCATTTGTTTTTTTCTTTTAAGATGGTAATTTTTTTCAGTTGATGTCATCGTATATCCAAATAAAACATGCCAGTTTTGTACAGATTATACATTGAATACATCTTTCATAGTGGCAGTCCACTTGTTTCATTACGGTTTACTAGATCTGTTTCTCTTCTGAGAGTTTACATTTAACATTCAGATGATACTATAGTTAGATGCCTTTGGGAACTCCTTTTAACTTTTGGGCCTATGTTCAAAGATCAAGCATAAAGGAAAATCTCTGATGTCTGGCAACCTCACTTTTTAAAGTATGTTGAGAATGGAAAACACACAAACACACACACACACACACACACACGCACGCACGCATGCACGCGACTAGGACTAGAAGGGCTCAAGAAGCTCTCGGAGTTGCTGAGGGCCGAGTGAAGGTAACCGGGGTTGGGTGGCAGGCGAAAAGCTGAGGTGGGTGAGACGAGAGGCAGGTGCGACGAGAGGCGGGTGAAGGGAGAGCAGGAAAGCCCGAGGGCCCCGTGGCAGTGGGCGGGAGTGCGGGGCTGGCAGCACCGCGAGTGCCCAAAGCAGGTTGAGTTTGCGATGACAGTCCGCATCTGGGAAGAAGTGGCTACCGGATGGCTGTGTGTGGGCTCAGACTTGGGAGACACAGAGCAGGAATGCAGACGTCAGAGTCCTGCTGAGTCAGTGGCAGAAGCCCTGGGTGGGCAGAGGATGCGAGAAGCCTGTGAAAGAGAAGGGGAGTGTGGTCTTGCTGGGGCTGCCCCTCTGGGGGTAGGGGCGGGTATGCAGTGTTCAGGAGGGGAAGCAGCAGCATCCCCTGGGCACCGTCGGTTCTAGATTGTACACTTTTAACGGACAGAATTTATTTTGTCTGTCACTTACGTATTTCCATTGAGTCAAGTAAATATGTCATCAGTGATTTTAAAACCCAAAGTCTTCTTAATTTTAGAAACCTCATTTAGTTTTTTATACAAAAGGCATCATTTTATAGACTTTCTAAATGTATATTTGTTTACTGAATAATCAGCTGGAAGTTCACCAGATATTATGAAAAATTTGTCAAGTGTGCTAAAACTTCTTGAACTTTGCTTTGGATGAATTTTTCAGAATCCTTCGAGATTTTCGAAATCCTTTGCGTGTCGATTCAACTTGGAGTAGGTTCATAGTAATAAAATATTAATAACATCATTGTCTACATGTCAGCCCTAAAAGAGCAGCATTAAGGACAGGGAGTGCCCTCCAGCCACTTGCATTGTTTTAGCTGCGGCAGTATTCTACGAGCCGGACTGACAGCGCCGAATGACCGGCCTTCGAGCTGAGGTCAGCGTTGTGAGGATTCTGGGGGCGTGGCCGCGCAGGTTCCTCGAGAGCGTATTTGTGGTTTGTGTGAGGCCCCCAAAGCACATTTGAACAGAGACCACATTAAATTGGGTTCACTCACTCAGAACTGGCACTTAGTTCCTAAATTTGTAGGCCATGGGAGGTGAGGTATAGACTAAAAGTATCTACCTCAAAAGTCTCAACATCTTCATTTTTGTCATAAAAAATGAGCTGGTGGTGTATCACCCCGCTCCACACAGTAACAAACGGTGCGTCTAAGATTATCTCGTTTCCTCCTGGCCCGTCACCAAACCCTGACATCACCCCGGAGTCATCTGCCGCACTTTGGGCCTCGCACTGCAGTGCTGCGCTTTCAGGGCCCCCCACCCTCGTAACTGGGTCCTCGGGGGGACTAGCCACGTGTCCAGCTGAAAGGCTCCACGGACTCCACCCGGGAAGAGCCCTCAGCACTTCTTGATAATGCGTCCTAAATCACATCCTCGTATCATCATCCTGTAACTACTGGAGAGGAAATACCGCTTCATCCTTCAGATTTGAGTGCAAAGCAAGTTGGTAAGGCTCTTCTAGGGATTATCAGAGAGATTAGGAACAATCATGCCATCATTTAATTTTTAAAAATGCTGTTCATCTGTCATTAATACTAATCTAACATTCTGTTAGTTTCTAGTAAACCTTCTTATCTTTGAATGAAATTATGGGATCAGTGTTTTACGTCCAGATGCTTGATTGGCTGGGCTGTTCTCTCTGGAGGCGTAGGGAGGAGGCTGTGTGTGCTAAGGGCGCTGCCCTCTAGAGCTCAGCACCGCGCAGGAAATGGCTCTCGGGGTGTGGGCAGTGGTCAGCCTGGGTTCAGTGCATGCCCGTCAGGGTAATGGAAGCCGAGGGCAGGAAATAGCCTCATAAGGTTAACTGAGATGCCAGTCCCACAGCAAAATTAAATCGCATAAGTTGGTGAACTGAAACTGGTAGGTCCCTCGGTGAAAGTTTTGGAGAAAGCAGGAAGAAGTGGACGAGAGTGCGGGGGCAGGCAGGGAGGAGACGCCAGCTGTCTGGAATCCTGACATTTTGAATGACAGCTGCTGAAGAGACACAGGCCAGACCCTGAGTGCCGCCCCCCGCCCTCCCCGCATTCCGGTTTCTTTGTCCCTTGGACACGTCCTGTTCAGGGATGTGTCCTATCGGCAAAACAGCGGTTTTTAGTTTCTCTTATGAGTCATTAACTAAATAACGTGTATTAAACTTCAGGTATATTATAAGCAGATACATTGAAGCATCCATCCTTTTTCTTCAGATTACCTTCAAGGACTTAATGTGTCTTTTTTTAGTTACATGTTTTAACAAAATTTTAGGTTTGGATATACAGGCATCTGTCAGTTGGGTCTGTTCCTTATATCCGGTCCTGAAATATTTCATGAACTTCCAAACAGTATGGTATTTTAAGTGGTTTTAAGTAATAATACTATTTCATCTGAGAAACTCAGATAAAGTTGAAATGACCCTGTGGAACCAGTACAAGAGCTCCTAAAGTGAGACGTGGCGCGGTGCACCGTGGTCGTCGCGCTGACTCACTGAGTCCTTGGGGCCCAGCCCGGTGCCTCTCGGGGCGAGTCCGGGCGGGCTTCTGGGCCAGCATGGACTCCAGGGGTGCCTCTCCTGCTTTCTGGGGGGGAGGGGGCAGGGGGGATGGAATGAGCAGACGGTCACTGGGAGGAACCACGGCCTCCACACTCGTCTGACTGGCCTTTCCCTTCCCTGCATTCCCCAGATGCTGCCCTCTGCCATCCCCGTCCAGGCAGACTGCTCAGTGGCCGGTCCCACGGGGCCTCCCTGATGAAGCCCCAGGCCTGTGTGGGTGCTCTGCTTTCCATTTCCTTCCAGGTTTTGTGAGCTCACCCTTTGTCGTGCTGCTTTTGTCCTTCCCGAAGTGGGATTCTGGTGTGTTAAGGAACGCCTCTGTGGTGTGCTCCCTCTCCTGCTCTTGCTGACCACATGGAAAGCTCTTGAAGACAGCCCAGGTTTTCCTCCTTTCCTAGACACTCCCCTCTGCAGGTGCCCCCCACTGAGCAGACGTGTGGACGTTTGTTCCCAGATGATGGAGGTGGCTCTGTCCGGTGTCTGAATCTCGATGGTTGCTGTTGCGTGTGACCCCCAAGTCCCAGCCGGAGAATTCACGGGGCCTGGTCAGTCCTCCAGGAACTTCTAGTTCACTGTTCTCAGTATTTATTTCTTGGTCAGCTTTGTAGTAAACACAAAGAGTGGAATTTTTTACATTTTTTCAATTACAGTTTATATTCAGCATTATTTTTTATTAGGTTCAGATGTGCAGTATTGTGGGTAAGACAGTCATATCCTTTACAAAGGGTTCCCCCTGCCCCCAGTATTCCCAGGACCCGCCGGCACCGCACAGTTACTGGAGCACCACTGACCGGGTTTCCTGTGCTGGAGACACACCCCGTGACTACTGTGTGACTGCCAGTTCACACTTCTCATCCCGTCACCTTCCCCACCCCTGCGGCCCCGCTCCCCCTCCTTCTGGCTGCCATGGATCCGTTCTCTGCATCTGTGGGTCTGTTTCTGTTCTGTTTTATTTAGACTCCACATGTCAGAGTAATCATATGGTATTTGTCTTTGTCTCATTTCACTTTGCATAGTGCCCACTAGTTCCAGTCATACTTCTGCAAATGGTAAGATTCCACTCTTTTTTATGTCCGAGTCATATCCCGTTGTGTTGTACACATGTGCCACCACTTTTTAAATCCATTCGTCTGTGGATTTGCCCACTTTTAATTGGATTGTGTGTTTCTTTGGTGTTGAGTTGTATGAGTTCTTTATAAATTTTAGGTATTGACCCTTATTGGATGTATCATCGGTGAATATCTTCTCCCTTCAGTAGTTTGTCTTTTCACTTTGTTGATGTTTCCTTTTGCTGTGCAAAAAGTTTTTTTAGTTTTATGTAGTCCCATGTTTATTTTTTCTTTTGTTTCCCTTGACCAAGGAGATACATCAGAAAAAATATGCTAACAGAAATGTCAGAGACTTTACTGTCTGTTTTTAAAACTCCCAGGAGTTTTCTGGTTTTGGGTCTTTCATTTCAGTCTCCAATCCATTTTGAGTTTATTCTGGCATATGGTATAAGAATGTGGTCTAGTTTCTTTTTCTTTTTTCTTTCTTTTTTTTTTTTTTTGCATCTGTCCAATTCTGGCAACACCATTTAGTGAATAGACTGTCTTTACTCCATTGTATGTTCTTACCTTCTCTGTTATAGATTAATGGGCCACATAATTGGATTTATCTCTGGGCTCTCTGTTCTGCTCTGCTGATCTGTGTGTCTGCGTTTATGCCAGTATCATGCTGTTTTGATTCCTGTAGCCTTGTACTATAGTTTGATATCAGGTGGTGTGATACCTCTGGCTTTGTTCTTCATTCTCAAGGTTGCTGTGGCTATTTGTGGTCTTTTGTGGTTACACATACATTTTTGGATTATTTGTTTAGTTGGTGAAATACACAATTGGCATTTTGATAGGAATTGCATCGAGTCTATAGATCACTCTGTGGATGATGTTGATTCTTTCTATGGATGAGCACAGTATATGCTTCCATTTATTTGTCTTCATTTTCTTTCTTCAGTGTCTTACCGTGTTTCAAGTTACAGATCTTTCACCTCCTTGGTTGAATTTATTCCTCGGCATTTTTTGGATGCAATCTTCAATGTAATTGTTTTCTTAATTTCCCTTTCTGATAGTTCATATTATTGGTGTAAAAAATGCAACCAATTTCTGAATGTTTATTTTGTATCCTGCTACTTTACTGATTTTTTTTTGGTGGAATTTTTAGGGTTCTCTATGTATACTGTTGTGTCATCTGCAAATAAGGAACATTTTACTTCCTTCTTTCCAACTTAGATGCCTTTCATTTCTTCTTCCTGTCTGATCGCTTGGCTGGGATGCCCAGTACTGTGTTGAATAGAAGTGGCGAACAGGGGCATCCCTGTCTTGTTCCTGATCTTAAGGGAAACGCTCGTAGTCTTCCCCATTGAGTGTGGTATTACCTATGGGTTTATCTCATATGGCCTTATCTCATGTGGGAGTGGGGTCCCTGTATTAGGAATGGAATTCTTTAGCCAGTAAAGTTATTCTTTTATTTAATGTTCTTAAATTAACACCTATGTACGGCCATAGGCAGATACAGGGACTCTTCAAAATAGGAAAAGAAGCACAGTGTCCACGGAACGGAATTTCTGCTCCCAGAAACACACCATACGCCGGGTGTACTTAGTTTCTTATGTTTTTATTATAGTTGATGATTTGTTTTTAAAATATGCAACAGTAGAGTGACCTGTGCTGTATTCTTCTGTGGGCAGTTAACACTGTATCTTGGATTTAGTCATTAAACTTTCACAAAATATTTTAAGTATATATTGTTAATTTTGTTTTCCATTTTTTCCTGTTTTATTTGTGATTTACTTAGAAATTACTGTAGCATAGTAGCCTCTATTTTATAAATGACATTTTATGGTATACTTGTTACTTGACTTTCTAAAAATTTGTGGCATTATCTCTACCACTGAATTACAAACTGGTGAGTAGTCACTATTGCTACCAGGATACCATCCCGTGACACTAATAGAACCATGTGAATTAAGCTTCAGTAGCACAGGGCATTTCCTCCCTGGCATGTGACTGGAAGGACTGGAGCCGTACAGACTATGAGAGAGGCTAGGCTCTTCCGTTTATTCCCAGGTCGCCTTTCTCTGTCAGCCCTCCCTTCGGTCTGGCTTTCTTCTAAGTGTCAAAGGGGTTGAGAATAAAATCCTTCCTCGGTCATTTGTAGAGGAACACGGAAACTCCCCTCTTTACCCAGGCTCTGATGGGATGTCCGTGGTCCCGTTGCTGCCGTGAGGGAGCGTGCTGCTCACGCACTGGCTGGGTCTCAGTCAGTGCCGGCCGCCAAGCCAGTCTGGGGTGACGGTGACTGATGTGGCGTCAGCCCCGCCCATGCCACAGGGCTGCGGCACGTGACTACAGTGACCGCAGTATCCATGGAAACAGGGATGCTGTCTTACATTTGTTTTCTTTCTCAATGGACGCCCGCATATAGGACACACACCACAGTGTACCTATTTCCTCATTTTCTCTGAGAGAGACAGGCATTTCTGGTAGAGAAAGTTAAAAAGCAGAAACGGGGGGATTCCAGCCAGATAAACCAGAGATACTCAAGGAAGACCTTCCTGCCAGCTGAGGAAACAGAGACGGCAGCGCTGCAGCTCGGAGGAGGAAGTGCGAGGTGGCAGGGAGGCCCCGGAGCCGAGGCCGAACAAATGGCAGTGCCTTGGTACCCGCCCAGCGCCCGGACTCTGGTGGGGCCACCTTGCTGTCACCAGGGTGGGGGTGAACAGGCTGGTCTCAAGGGCGTTCCGTGACGCCTCCACTGCCTCGGGCCCCGCCAGGAGATGCTCCGTTAGAAATGCGTCTTGTGTTTCCAGCGCTGCCTCAGCAGGTCCAAGCAGTGAGGCTGAACACACATGGCCTTAATCTTGAGCTTTATGTGCATTTCGGACTTTGGTTAACTTCCTTTGCTCATTTTCAAAATAGTCAGAGGTACATGGTTTAGCTACTAATGAGTTTTCTTAGAAAACTCATTTGAAATCAGAACTGGGGAAACCTTGCTTCATATTCATACCAACATACTTGAATGACTCTTTTTATGTTAATGAGCGGTACTTCTGTTTTCCAGGGAATGGATTCGTAAACTCAAGAGCTTCTCCAAATCTGATTGGAACTACTGGTGCAAACAGCGTGGGCAAAGTCATGCCCACAAAGTCGCCCCCTCCTCCGGGCGGCGGCAACCTGGCCATGAACAGCCGGAAGCCAGACCTCCGCGTGGTCATCCCTCCGTCCAGCAAGGGCATGATGCCGCCACTGGTACGTCCAGCCCCTGCCGGGGCACGGCTCTGAGTCGCGTGCTTTCTCACAGTCGGTCTGCACCTTCTTTTCGGATGTTCCGTGCTGCCACAGAATCTAGGCTCTTTCCTCATGATGACGTCTGTTTGAAATTAGCGTTTGCAGAAACAAGTCTCTTTCAAATACACAGAAATCAGATGGTGGACAAATGGGAAATAAATAAATCTACTTGATGGTTATTTAAAATGAAAGCTAAATATGGAGAGGTCAGTTCTGAGCACAGTTTTACCGGGCTGGGGTCTTTACCTAGAGGTCTCGTCCCTGAACGGCTCAGTTCCGCCTGACTGAAGTGCTTTCTCTCCGCCCTGCGCGCACCTCCAGGGATCCACTGCACACGCTCTTCTGGGAGGAGACAGTGTTACTACTCGGTTAGGAAATTCTGCACACCAACGAGCACTGTTGTAGACTAGGGAAGAATGCATGGGAACCTGAATGAGTTATTCTCCAAATGAGCTTTTATTCATTCCTTTTTAAATAACCTTCTCCCTTAAGTCTCCGAAGAGCACAGGTCTCCCCAGCCCAGACCTTGGTAGTGTCCTCACAGTTCCAGCCTCATTCACTTTTGAGCCCTGTGTCTTTAAGCAGAGTATGTTTACCCCCGCTTGTCTCTTGTAGGAAAAAAAGTAGAATATGTGTGCAGTTTTAAAACCACTGAGTTTGGCAGCTGTCGGACTGCCGACACGCAGTGTGATGTGCCAGCGGCTCTGTCTGCTGAGTAGCTGCTGGAACTCGACATTTGCGTTCCTGCACGTGAAAGTGGCGCACTCAGGCTTTCGATAGTAGCTCTGCGTTTGCACACTGCTGTGGAGGTGCCCGAGCATCTTCACACGTGTGGCCGCACCCACCCCAGACCAACCTCGACTGGGCAGGGAGGGGGCAAGAGGGAGACGTCAGAGCTTCCCCAGTGCAGCACAGGAGAGACCAGGACCAAACGCTTTTAGCTCAAAAAACAAGGAGGTACTTTTTCATTTGAAGACACAGAAAGCTGGAGACCGTGTCCCTCCCGGTCTTTCAGTGAAAACAGTTGGACAGACAACAAGTTCAGTTCTCCGAGAGCACCTGGTAAAGCTGATGCTTCAGGGCAGCTGACAGGCCTGGACTCCACCTGGGGAGGGGCAGCGTGCACACTGACAGGCCTGGACGAGGCAGGTGAGGCAGCAGGACGTAAGCAAGGAGGCTGGGGAGTGGACGGAGGCCACGCGATCCCTGGCCAGGCTGGGGCCCCGAGGGGGCGGGCCCGACTCCTCCAGGAGCCGTGCAGGGAGTGCGCTGACACAGGCCCTCCTGGGGGGCCGGGAGTCCGCCCGGATCCTTCTCCCGTCTCTCCGGTGGGACAGAGATTCTGTGCTGATCTGTGACGAGATGGACAGTGACCCTGGTGCCCCGAGGGTCCCGGGAAAGGGGCGCTAGCTCGGCCTTGTTCGTGAGAACTACCGGTAAACGGCAAAGTTTCCGGGCAAACTGCATCCGGGCATTTAGCAGCTGGTCAAGATTATCTCTGGGTTTTTAAAGCAGAAGCATCTCCAGGCAATACCCCAAATGGACCACACACTACCTCCACCCGTACCCCTGCAGGGCCCAGCGAAAGGTACACACACGCACCCTCGTGTTTTGGTGGGGGTCCCAGAGCCGCGGGCTCTCGACTGTCCCATGGCTCGAGTTGAGCCTTCTGCCCCATGTGAGACAGTTGTTGGCCAGCTGTGACCCCCCTCACCCTGCCCTGCCCCGGCAAATACCCAGCCTCCCTCCTGTTTTATGCCATTTCTTTGCAGATGAACCTCCTTTCAGGTTGAGGCTTCATGTATCGGTGACGGCTGTACAGACACCTTTCACAGACAGAGAAGCCTGACTTCATTAAAACAGGGAAAAACCAGCTAGTCGATTATTTGTAGCGTGTGAACATGTTCTAGGTGTGAGAGAGACGAGGAGGAAACAGGTTCTGGTCGTCTCCTTCCTGCGCCTGGTTCTCAGGCCGCTCCTCCCGCGGCCTCCTTTTCTTCCTGTTGGGGGTTTTCTCTGTGGCGGTTACTTTCTTCATAGGAAAACAGTATTTGCAAATGACATGCATACATAAATCTGTGCTGTGTAAAACTGTTATACGTATTAACTGATGCGTGAGACCTCGTGGTTTCCTAACTCTGTGCTAGCTACTGTGGGGGATGAGAAAAAACAACTTGTGCCCGAGAAGCAGAGACTCTAACAGGAGACAAATGAGGTGTGTGCCCAGGTGGGGCCGGGCTGAGAGGGTGGATATGTGAGGCCGGAGGTGGTCTCCTTCTCAAGGACCCAAACGCACCGGCTTGGGGACGGGGAGCCCCGTTTCAGGGCGGCGGCGGCAGCCCGTGTGGCCGGGGAGCAGCCAGTGGAAAAGCAGAGGGAGGCGGGGGAGCCTGTCTTTGAACCCTGGCTCCAGGGAATGCCAGAGACTTCCCGGGCTTCCAAAATCCACTGCCAAGGAAAGAGACGATTAATAATTAATATTTGTATTTATTGCATATAAAATGACCTATTTAGAATTTCCAGCAACCACTAGTGTCCAAATAACATGTTTTCGTTAAGAAATACTTTATTGCTGAATGCCAACAGTCTGAGTAACTCTCTCATCCCTCTTGTGTTCTGAGTGCAGTCGGAGGAAGAGGAATTGGAGTTGGTGAGTGTGGGTTTCTGCTTGAGGGGAGCTGGAGAAGGTGTGGAAAGTACTAATTCTCTCCCACGGTTTTACCTAACCAGTGTTCCCGTGTCACACAGATGTCTTCTTGTTATTAAACACTGTCCAAACACTTTGAATAACTAGACCAATCCACTGGTAACAACAGTGTCGAGATTTTCTATTCCTGGTGGAGTATTTTGATCCATTTTATTTGTGGGAGGAAGCATTGCAGGGAAGCGTTTAGAGACAATGGCTGTCCGTGGTCACAAGATGCTCGTTACAGGTTTTGTTACAGATGAAAAATACCTTATATAGCTCCCCAAATTATTAACATATTTTTAGAAAATGACTTCACCTTCAAAGTTCCTCAGATTGTAACACATGGTCTTGTGTTATTTCTCTTTCTTTCAAAGTGATTACATCATTTTTGGTGAGGTCACCTTTTTCTCAGAGTTGGAATTATTTCATACTGCATGAAAGGCTCTGAGCCACAAAGGAGTTCCCTGTTTACCAAAGGAATGTCTATAATTGTGTACAAATTTACTCCTTTTTATCAGAAGATATTCCATTCTCAAAAGTAGCTACTGATACCTTTTTTCCCCCAAAACAAATGATTTCTATTTGCTTTTCTTCTAGAAAAGTAAGTTTGACTAAGAATAACTTTCAATTGATCTGGTTTTTCCTCGGGAACTAACACTCGGGCCTCACAGAAGCGAGCGGGTGAATTCAGGATCAGCTCTGATGGGAGCACCCCCGGGGATGAGCACGCACTCGCCCACGTTTAGGTTGCGGCAGGGAGGGCGTGGGTGCATGGAAGCATGGGGGTGGGGGGCGTCCGTTTTATTGACGTGTATGTGCATGCTGGTGTGTTGTGCACAGTGTGTCTTTCAAAGTAATGACTGCTCTGGTTTTAAAGTAGGAGTGGGCTCATCCTTTATTTAAGTTAGTGCTTGCTCTCACGGTTTTGTGTCGGTTAAAATGCGCTAGTCAGCTGTCATGTAGTGCTGGGTTACACCACGTGCAGATCTGGACTGGCTGTTGGGAAAACAATGATACAGCAACGATCACCAAATCGTTAGTTTACAATTCGAGATAAAATAATTCATACTAGAAGTTGTCGTGAAGGCTGCCTTGTGAATTATCTGGCAATATATCGCCCTCTAGTGGTTCTGGAAGTCACTCACTGATAAATCTCAGTGCTTAACACCCTGTTAGAATTTAGAAAGTTGTTGGTGCTGGTTTGAACTCTGGGATATAATCGTGGGTGGCTCTGGCCCCGGCGGGGAGGCCCGGGTGTCCTGAAGCCCACAATGAAGACCCCTGTGAGAGTCGGGCCGCAGAGTCCTCCCAGCAGCCTCGCAGCCCAGGACAAGGCGGCCCAGGGCAGCTCCGGGCACCAGCTGCGGGTTGGAAGGAAGAGATACATTGACCCTTTTCCACCAGTCTTGTAGGAATCTCGGGCCCGAGCGTGCGGTGGGGCAGTAAGGCCCAGCTGCACGTGTGTGGTGCGCAGGTCCATCACAAGGTTCTCGGCAGCACTGCAGGCAGGCTGCCCGGGGTCACCACCCTCCCGCCTGACAGACCGGAGGGGAGGGGGGGTCCCCGGCACCGCAGTACATCTGGGACACAGTCCTGGGCGGTCCAGCCGTGCACCGAAGGGTCTTTCTAACGACTCGCACTAAAGACTGTATAGAAAAGACACACTAGAAAGCAGGAAACCGAGACCTGGACCCTTACTACACAGTTGACGTCCAAGCACCTAGATCGAGCCAAGGCCTTCCTCCCTGGACACGTGGCAGAGACACCCGAGTCACTCTGCTTCTTCGTGATCTCGGGGGCTGAGCCGCACGTCCGCTGGTGCAGCTGGGGCCCTGCAGGGCAGCTGCCCAGCTGTGCCTCCTGTCCCACAGAACGCGGCATGCGCTCGCCCCGCTGGCCCCTGGTTGTGGGAGCGCTCCCGCGAGCCAGTTGGGCTCCCTCGCACACCGAGGGGGGACAGCAGCCGTCTCCGTCGGACACGATCACTCGAAGCGGACTCGATTCGTCCGCTCCCAGGGCAGGCGGGACACAGCAGGCGGAGTCGGCCCGCAGGCACTCACTGTCGTCCGCCCACGGCCCGTGGCACCCACGGTCTCCAGCAGCCCTGCCTGCAGGGGAGCCGGGGGCGGACGTGACGCAGGCCCGGACGTGCTGTTAGAAACCACGTCGGCTGCGCGGGTCCGAGGGCAGGGGGGACACAGGGATCTCTGCCCCTTCCCCTCCACTTCCCTGTGAGTCTAGAACAGAGTTCACACACACCCCCACCCTCCCCCCAGCTGCAGACTCACGGGGAAGGGAGCCCAGAGGGATACAAGTCGCCCTTCAGCAGGCGTGACTTGGAAGTAGTTTGACTGACCCTCACACTCGAGGACTTACAGTTTCTTCATAGACTAATGACTTCTCGGCCTGCGGGCACTGGAGCCTGCAGGGAGCCCCCACCGGGCCGCCCGGCCCCGCCCCCCCAGGAGCTGCCCCTCCCAACGCAGGTTCTGTGCTGTGGGTGCGCCTGACATCAGTAAACTCTGCATGAAAAGGGGGAAAATGAGTGATTACTGTGGAAACATGTCTCTTAAAATTCAATATTTAGTTATTCCCATTAGCATTTATTTTTAAGGTTTTCACATCAGCACTGCTTCAGGAAATGACACATCACAGAACTGTGAAAAATGTCACTTTCAGATCGAATGTTATTTTTAAAATGTGAAGTCTGAACATAAACACTCGCCCAGCAGCACGTGTCCCTCTTTTCTCCCCTCGCAGAACCCCCAGAGGATCAGCAGTTCTCAGGCCGCGCAGCCCCTGGCCACCCCGGTCGTGTCCGTGGCGACGCCCAGCCTGCCCCCGCAGGGGCTCGTGTACTCGGCCATGCCGACCGCCTACAACACTGGTAAGCCGGCCCGCCGCCCCGCCGGGTTTCCTTCTGCTCTGTGGTCCACACATGCTTTTGTGGGGGGTTTAAAAAGTGTTCACTGAGACATACTACTTCCAGTGTTTTAGACTCCCGTTTGGTTTGGTAAAAGACATGCCCACCAGCCTCGAGGACATCAGCACCGGTCACAGGACGCTCTCCCAGCATGCACTTCCGCTGCCCCGCAGCCGTGCCCAGAATCGCAGCGTGCTGCCTCGGACGAGGAGGGCACAGCCCGCTGCCCGGCCCTTCTGGGCCGTTTCCCCGCGCACACTGTCTCGCTCCTCCAGGCTGTGCAGTGAGACGGTCTGGCTCCTCGCCGGGCCAGCCCGCTCAGGATGCGGTGGTGGCAGCGAGCTCGCTGTGCTGGCCACGGCGGCGCCTCTGTGTAACCGCCTGTGTGGTTTCTCTGGTTCGGGGCTCAGGGATGGAACCGGACCTTTGTCGTTTGTCCTCAGAGCCGGTCGGTCAGTGCCTACCTGAGAGGAACTGGTCCCTCAGTTAGGTCTAGTTTTTGGCTCAGTGGGCTGAAGAGGGCAGGACCCTGGGTGCTCTGGGGCCTGGCGAAACTGTGCCTGGCCGATGGTGCAGACGCCGCAATGCAGGGCTTTGTTCTTTTGTTCTTTGTGCTCCTCGTGAGCAGACGGTGATAAAGATGCTCTCGTCTCAGACTTGAGGGTAAGTGCTTGATCACGGTGCTTCCAGACTGCTCTGTGGAGCTCCCCGAGGGCTGTGGGACCGTCCGTGTGTTTGCCGCTTTAATTCTAAATTGTTCATTTAGAACAAACCATTTTAAAAGGTTTTGTTGAAAACAGGTGTCTCTTAGATGAAATGTTGACAACATTCTCTTATGATCAGCATGAAAAAATGTCCAAGTCCATGAGCCGCACCTCTGGGGCAAAGCTAGGGCCTGTGTGCTCCTGGGCATGGTCTCGGGGCGGCGCCAGGCGCACCCCGGGTCCTGAGGTCACCTTTAGGTCTTTCATCCACGGTGAGTTTATTCTCGGACGTGAGGTGGTGGTCTGGCTTCTTTGTTTGCTGTTGGACGTACCTGCTCGACTCTCCCGGACCATGTATCCAACAGACCGTCGCTCCCGCACTGCACACTCGAGCCACCTCGGTCGGACACGCACTGGCGGCAGAGGCGTGGGGCCAGTCGTGTGTGCGTCCCGTGCCGCCGCCCTCCTCTGCGTTCACGGCCTGGGAGTGTCGCCCATGTCACGTGGTGCGGCCCCCAGCCTGGCTCGCTCTCGGGTGCTGTGGTCGATCAGGGTCTGCGGTGGTTCCGTGTACATTCTTGGGTTTTCTAGTTCTGCGAGACATTCAGTTGCTTTAACACCTCTCTCGCGCTATGGAAACGTTGAGTTTTGCCGCCGCCCTTCAGGACGGGATGGAGGAGACCAGGGTTAACGTGGGGCCGGAACAGTGCCACCTGAGAACGGTTAGCGCCCGTCCCGAGCTCCGGACAGAGTGGCCACAAAAACTTGGCGTTCTGTTGTAACCCGGTTCTTCTTGTGAGCGTGAAAATATTTTGCTGGCAGTCAGGGACAGTCCCTGTGCTCCCTGTCCATGTCACCAAGCCTGGCTTCCAGGAGGGGTGCTAGGACCTTCCCGGTCCCCGCTGCCACTGTGGGGCCCACAGGGCGTGTGCACATGTGCACATGGAGGTGGCAGTGAGTGTGTGCGTGTAAAGCAACAGTTGTGTATCATTGACAAGTCTGGAAAAGCATCTTAACTTTTTGTGAAATAATATTTAGTACAAAATTGCAATTTAGTTTATTGAAATAATCCCAGACAATCAAATGCAGCCAACTCTATAAACCCCCCAAAAGAAAGTATATCGTGGGGTTTAGGCCTGTTGTTTCAGGTTGGGGGGTCCCTGGCTCCTCTCAGCCCAGGAGTCTTTGGGGCCACTGTGGGCAAACAGACTCTGACCCGAGCCACGCCGCCCTCTCTTCCAGATTACTCGCTGACGAGCGCAGACCTGTCGGCCCTGCAAGGCTTCGGCTCCCCGGGGATGCTGTCTCTGGGGCAGGTGTCGGCCTGGCAGCAGCACCATCTGGGGCAGGCCGCCCTCAGCTCGCTGGTGTGAGTACCCGGAGGCCCCCCTGCGTCTCCACTGCGCGCTGTGCACGCCCTCTTCGTGCCAGGGACTCCCTCCAAGGGACACCGCAGGACAGTCCTTAGTGCCCCGAGCTGAGGCGAGGGGGCTGCTGTGCTGTCTGTCCCCTCCTCCGGAACGCGGCTGGTCCCCCACCACTCCCTGGGCCTGCCACCCTCCCGGTTCTGCAGTGTCTGGGTGGCCCGAGTATTGGGAGAGAACTGGGTTTACGCGGCTCTCAAGTAACAGCTTGGATACTGTGCACAGGCCTTCCTTAAAAATCCAGGGAGCAGGGCTCCCCACAGGCACACTGAGGGGGGCAGGGGGCACCCCACCTACCAGTCGCACCACAACAGAGCCACTGCTCCCACCCCCACTTCCCAACCTGTGTCTGGCTGGAAGGTGTTTGGGGGCACACGTCTCCATCAGCAGAGAGGTGAGGCGAGTGGTGCCTCTGTCCTCTCCCTGCCCGTAGGGGCGGGGCCTGTCCTCACCGGGAGCGGCTCCGCAAGGACGCAGCGCTTGGGCTGGGTGTGGGGATCGACAGGGCGGGCAAAAGTAGGTTCACAGTTGTGAGTACGCAAAACAGCTCCTTCTTGTGTTTATTATTGGCTTATTTCCCACACGGACTGTGAGCTGCTTTTGCCTGCCCCGTGAGTGTGCAGGGCGTCCCGCGGTGCCCAGGAGAGCAGCAGGCCCGTGGGGCAGGGGGCGCACAGCGTCCCAGAAGAGGGGACAGCACGCAGCCCCAGCTGGCCTCTGCGGGCTCAGGGCGCCCCTCCTCCTCCCCAAAAGTCCCCCAGGGATGCAGGGCAGCAGACCCTCTGCCTCCCGCATGAATGCCCTGCGAACGTCCCCACTACAGCAGGGTCCCCACTACAGTGGGGACGTGGTGCTCGGAGCAGGGAAGAGCCGTGCACACCCTCCTGTCCTGCCCCGAGCAAGTTGCTCACCTTGTGTGAGACCAATTCCTCTCTGGGAATGGGGTGACGCGGCTGGCTTCTGCTGGAGCCACTGTGAGCAGAGGTGTCCTGCCTCCCACGGCCAGAGCGAGACCCGGCTGTGGAGGACGGGAGGTGGGACATGGGAGTCAGGGTACCAGTGGCTCCCCTGGGGCTCGGCCCACGCACAGCACTGGCCCCCAAAGGGCTCGACTGGACTGTTTTGGGGGTTTTTCCTGCCGGGGAGATGTGGTCTCTTTTGGGGTCAGGCACTGAAGGGAATGGCCAAAGCTGGCCTCGGGGAGCCGGGCAGGGTCTCCGAGGGGGCTCCCCTCAGTCAGGAGGTCTGCCCTGTCCTTGCCACGCAGGGACGCCCACAGCCACCTAACGTTGCCACCGTCTTCTCCCCGCAGCTCTGGAGGGCAGTTATCTCAGGGTTCGAACTTGTCCATCAACACCAACCAAAACATCAACATCAAGTCAGAGCCGATTTCACCTCCCCGGGATCGCGTGACCCCGTCAGGCTTCCAGCAGCCGCAGCAGCAGCCGCCACCACCGCCGCCACCTTCACAAGCCCCGCAGCCCCGGCAGGAAGTGGGGCGCTCGCCCGTGGACAGCCTGAGCAGCTCGAGCAGCTCCTACGACGGCAGTGACCGGGAGGATCCGCGGGGGGACTTCCACTCGCCCATTGTGCTCAGCCGGCCCCCGAACGCCGAGGACAGAGAGAGCCCTTCTGTGAAGCGGATGCGCATGGACGCCTGGGTGACCTAAGGCCGCCGGGCCGGTGGCTGGTACTGTGTTACTGCAGTGAGCTGCCCGCCGTAGCTAAGGGGGTTGGTGCGGACACGAGGTAAATATATTTATATGTACATACATACATATCTGCCCTTCACGTATGTATGTATGTGGGTGTGAGTGTGTGCGTGGGTGTGTGTTGCATTCGCAGAGTCAGGTGCGCGTCCCCGGCAGAGCAGGCGCCTGTAGGCAGAGTCTAGTCTGGCGTCTCCCCGGGCTCCGCGTTCGCGCGACGCCCAGTTTTTGCGGAGAAACGTGTGCCCGTAGGTCACCCTCCCACACTAGCTTGCGGAAGCCTCGAGGGCCCTCCCTGTCGTATTTACCTGTGCGGTGACTGTAGTGCTGCGGAGAAGTGCTTTGTAGACCAGAGCAGTAGGAAAGCAGGAACCGAGAAAGCAATACTGTACATAAAACGTCATTTATATTAACCACCCAACCTGGCATGGGTCTCTTTTGCAAAGGGGTGCATGGTAAAGGGCTGTCGATAGTACAAAACAAAAAAGCCCCACACGTAACTGTTTTGCACGTGCAAAAATGTATTGGGTCAAAAAAGTGATCTTTAGCTAATAAAAGAGAGAAAACACGCATGAGATTTTCAGAAAATACTAGCCTAGAAATATAGAGCATTAACAAAATAAATTAATATATTAAGTTATAATTGGAATATGTCAGAAGTTTCTTTTTACATTCGTATCTTAAAAAATAAACTGATTTTAGCTCATGTATATTTTATATGAAAGAAAACACCCTTATGAATTGATGACTATATATAAAATTATATTCACTACTTTTGAAACATTCTGCTATGAATTATTTATATAAGCCAAAGCTGTATGTTTTAACTTTTTTTTAAGAGACTAGCTTTATCTTGTTTTAACTTTTTAGTTTTATTCTAAGAGGGGAAAAAATATCTTGCAAGCAGAACCTTGGAAAAAAAAAGCCATGAACACTTACTATTCTATATATAAATTAAAAGTTGAGCCAAACGTTCTGTAAATAGCATCTTAAATATATTATCACCTTTGATGTAAGTACCTATGTATTGTATGGTCACCAGATTAAAAAGTATATTTTTGTGGATTTGCCGCCAATCTGGGGGGGAGGCGAGATCCCTGTTGAGTATTCACTGTTCGATATTTACTATTTTGTTAAATATACTGTACTTCGGATTTTCATTATTAGCCCAGTCCTTCCGGGGTTGTGTACGGGCCCTCCCTGGTGGTGAGTGTGTGGTGTTGCCTTGTAATCTTTGTGCTGTATGGATTGAGCATCATTATATATTTTATATGTGTGCATAAATAGCAAAGTGGCAAAAAAAAATGGGTGTTAAGTTCATCCTGCATAAATATACAGTGTGTTGTAGCAGGTTTTGTGAGGCATTACTGAAACCTTGCCTTCTGTGAGGAAGCACTAGCAGCAGAGGCTGACCCGGCACTAGCGAAGACGGCCAGCCAGATGAGCACAAAGGTTCCAGCGTGGCAAACGACGGGGGCCTCTCGGGGCGGGGACCTCTTCCTCCCCGCCTCTGAGGGGGGAGGGTACGAGCCCTCAGCTCCCACCCCACCAAGGCCTTACTTATGCTTGCAGGGGGGCAGCGGGGCGTCCCTGGTCTGGGCTTGTGCCACGCGCAGAGTTCAAAGTCCTGCAGATCTTCTACCACAGATTTTTAAGTACTACTTTTCCTGAGAAACTCCAAGAGAGTGAGGGTTTAAAAATGCTGCTATTTTATATTTTACACTTAACAGTGAGCAGCTGCCTACACTTTGTACTTGCGTTTTGTTTTCCCCCTAAATTGCATCCCTTTTGGGGCTTCCCTTAGGTGCTCTCCGTGACAGGTCACCAGGCAGGTTCTCTGAGCGGCACCTGGGCGGGAGCCGCCGGCAGCTGCAGAGCGGGGTCCCTCCAGGGACAGTGAGGGCAGGGCAGCCGGCAGGGGGCGCACCAGCGCAGACACCCCTCACTCACCGAGGACTCGCTTTTAGGACGTCCCCACCTTTCTGAACGGCTTCCTCGCAGGCACACTTCTTCGCAGTCGCACCCACCGAGCCGGAACCAGGCCGGCTCCCGGCACCCAACTTCCAAGACGACCCTCACCGCACGCACCCGCCCGCCCGCAGCTCTGCAAGTGTTCAGTGACCTTCCGTTGTTGCTTCTGCATGTTCCTGACCTTCTGCTGTCCACGGGCATGGGAGTGGACACCGTCACATTTACTGTCTATTTTCTTGTGTGCCTTAAGAGATGGCTTTTCCGACTGTGTCTCAATAGTCTTTCTTTCTATGCAGGTTTCTAATCAGTACAACTACTGTTTTCTAAAATAACCTCGCACAAGGCTCGGAGTTTGTATTTCAATCTCACTGACCAAGTAACAATGTGCTCCGTTCTCGGGAACCGAGTGTCCGACTGTTAGCCCTTCTCCCACACGCGCAGGGACCCCGAGCACACGGGCTCGGCAGGCAGCCCCCCCCCCCCCCCACCTCGGCCGCACGCACGGACGCACATACTCAGCCCCGGTGCGCGCGGCTCAGACCGGCGGAGGCGCTGGCGGGCTCCCTAGAACCTCCATCTCACACCCTCTCACACGAAGTGTTTTGTATGACACCATCATAAGAAAAATGCATCCATGCAGATGAAGTATTTTATTACTAAAAGACAAAAACAAAAAAAGCTTAGCGTGAATTGCACTGGTTACAGCACGGTTCCCGACAGCTGTGCTTCCCTGCGGACCCTGACGGCGGAGGGAGACGCCCCCCACCCCCAGGCCTGCAGGCGGTCCCGCCCCAAACTCCATCCCGTGAGCCCCCATTCCGTCCATTGTGTTCGAGACCCGATCAGGGGTTTGCTCTGAAGGGAACCATCTGTCTCACCATTTCCTCTCGCCAGAGGGACAGCTAACAGAGCACCCACATGTTTTCTGTATCGACCATCACGCGCACAAGAAATACATAGTAAATAGGGAAGCAGAAACTCCTGGCATTGGATCCTAGGAAGCTAGATGATTATTAGAATGTGAACAAGATTTTACAAATGTACAACTTTCCTTTCTCTGTAGAAACTTTCTTCACTTTGCTGTGCAAGAAGACACTGCTTTGCTATATTTAAAATGGCTTTTTTAAAAGAGATTTATGTATTTGGTAAATGTTTGTAGTCAACAGTTCACACAAGAAGCTGTACGCGGTTTGCCACGTGAAACCGTTTGGCGGCACAAGCTGGACTTTGTTGCCATCCCTGAGATGAAAACTAAGTTAATCTCGACTTCTCCCTGCTGTGTTGTTTTTTCTTCATTATACAATAAATATGATAGTGAACTTTTTATCAAATGGATAAGAAAATGCTAGAGGTTGTTGTAAACTATTTGTATCCTGCACTCACTACAGTAAAGACAGACTGGCTTTTCCTGTGTACTCCAGACTCTGTCGTGCTTGCCCCAGCCGGCCCGGCGCCCCTCCCCCAGCCCCCGCCCACCTGCAGGCGCCCTCTGCGCCCTGACCCGCAGCCAAGGGGACGGCCACAGCGCCCGCCAGCCGCCCCGCCCCCCCAGCCTGGCCCTGGGCCCCTAGGATGCAGCCAGCAAGCCGGTCCCCAGCATCGGCCCTGCACGCAGGACCCGCACACGCCTGAGTGCCAGGGCAGGAGAGCAGCGGGGCGGCTATCGTTAGAGTCTCTCTCTCTCTCTCTCTCTCTCAAGCTTGTGGCGAAATTGTTTTGCCCGAAGTGCATACATAATGCTGAGCTGGGGCAGCCAAAGACAGATCTAAATGAATTTTTATTTCTAAAAGCAATAGGTGGGGGAGACGTGCAGTGGAAAGTTCTCTTCCTCCGGTTTGCCTTCTAAAAGCCTAGCTAAGCAGATTCTTGCAGTCAATTAAATTAAAAGCTAAATTTTTCTGCTGCCGGTACTCGCTGGTTAGAGGGAGGCTATTCGGAGGTTTCTGAAAGGTGGCTGAGCGCTGCGGCTAAAAATACTCCGCCGCACCTGCAGCTATTTAAAACCCATTCACTGGGCTGCCGAGTCAGCGCCCGGGTGCCGGCCTCCGGGCTGCGCCGCAAGTTGAAGCTGACTCTGCGCCAGCTGGGCGGCTCCGGCCTGTTCCGTCCGGGGCCTCTGGAGGGGTCACAGGACCCCTCGACACGGAACTGGGGGGACACAGTGTTTCTTCCGGCTCCACCAAAGCACCAACACCCTGGGGAGGGGCACCCTGGGTGGCTGCATAAGCCTAGCTGCCAGCGCAGCGGGGGCTGCAGACACGCTGTGCCCAGAGGGGTGCGTCCCAGCCACCGGACCCCCAGCCACACTCCCACCTGCCGCACACTCGCGGTCACAGCACAGGGACGGTGCCGGAGGACGAGAACTCACGGTTGCACCAGCCGGTGTCACCGCCCGCCCCTTTTCACTTCATGTTCAACTAACTCACTTCCGAAGCAGCTGGAGAAATGGCAGTTCCCACACACCCGTCTCCCCCAGTGTTAACACGCACACAACCCCCGGCCTTCACGCCGACGCAGCTGCGTGTTAACTGAGTACAGCGCCTCAATGTCACGGTTTCCCCGAGAGGTCTGTGCCCGCGACAGGATCCGGTCCGGACCCCACACGGACGGATGGCGGGGGGGTCTGCAGAGGGCCCCTCGGTGTGGGTCTGCCCGGCCCATCGCGGCGGCAGCGAGCTGGCCGTGCCCGGAGGAGCGCACTGACCGACGTGTGCCGGGGCAGCACCGGGTCCAGGCCGATGTCTGCCTGCGGCCCGTGCGGCCCGTGACCACCGACAGGTGACCCCGGGAGCTCCTGAGACCAGAGAGATGTCCCCTCGGGCTCTCGCCCGCGCACCGCAGCGCCCTGTCCACACCTGTGGCCCCTGCGGCGGGTTTCCCCGCCTCTCCCTGCATCGCGGTGGGGCCTCTGCAAGGGGCAGCTGTTCCTTCTCTCCACGTGGTCAGCTGCTGACCTCGTTATGGACCTGGGGTACTTATGTGATTCTGGGGGCTATAATCTAGCACTAGCAGCACTTTGTTCTGTGAATTATTGCGGCTGTGGCCACAAAGAACGCCCTCTGCTGGGTTCCCCTGCTGCGCGGGAAGCCCCTCCCCACTCGGGGCGTGTCCCCCCCCCACGTGCTCACTGCCCGTCGGTGTTCGGGCCCAGCGCTGCACCAGCCGCTTCCCCAACAACGAGATGAAAAGGGAAATCAAGAAACACCTAGAAATAAATGAAAATGGAAACAGTGACAAGAACCCACGGGGTGCTGGGAAAGCAGTTCCTAAAGGGGCAGTTAGTTCACAGCAATAAATGGAAATGTAAAAACAGCAAGGGTCTCAGACCTGCAGGTGCGCCCCAAGGAACTCAAAAGGAACAAACTGAACTGAGCCCAGCTTAGCAGAAGGAAAGAGGAACAGCACAGAGCAGAAATAAATGAAGCAGAGATCAGAAAGAAAAGATTGATGACACTAAGAGCCAGTTTAAAAAAAAAGACTTAACTGGGAAGTCGTCAAACCACACAAGGAAAAACCAGAACTGGAAAAGACAAAACCGACGAGACTTACGCAGCATCGCAAGGCACTGCAGGGGACGGCGGCACTGGGGACCTGGGTTAACGGGGTGCATCCCTAGAGCAAAACCCACGGAGACCGAGTCCTGAAGGAACAGACCCTCCCAGCAGACCGTCCCGGGGGAGCAGCCAGACCGACCGACCAGCCACGCCCCTCCCGGCACAGGAAAGCCGGGGCCAGAAGGTTTCTCGGGTGAAGTCTAGCCGATGTTCAGAACAACTAACTGCGGTCCTTCCTCAGGTCCAGAAAATGAAGAGGGGACGATCCCAAACTCATCCTGCGGGGCAGGGTCGCTGACCCTGGCGCCGACGCCGGACAAGGGCAGCGTGAGAACCAGACCGCAGCCCGCCGCCCCTCACGACCACGGGCGCCGCACACACTCGAGAAGCAAGAGCGAGCCGAGGTCAACGGCGCCCGAGAACCACTCCCCACGAGCAGGTGGGGTCGCCCCCGGGGCAGCAGGGTGTTCTGGCGACTCCGTGCTCCACCCTCCCCCCCCCGCCCGTGACAGAGGGACGGACGGGCAGCAATCACAGGACCCCCCCAGATGCCGAAGCACCGCTGACACCGAGACCACGGCCCTTCCTGACAACGCTCGGCAAACCGCGTGTGGCAGGCGTGTGCCCCGCACACCGAAGGCCCCGTACCTGACTCACGTCCACAGCGGACACCACCCCCCACGGCCGGAGAGGACACGTTCCGGAAGCCCCAGCCAGAGCAGTCAGGCAGCACAGAGCAACGGGGATTCGGGGTGGGGACAGGGGACAGGGGAGACCCCAGCTGCCCCGGTCCCTGCCCCCCACCCAAGATCACTACTAGACAGCTCCTCGCTAACGGCGGCAGAGACCGCACAAGTGCAAGGGACAAGAGGCCGCCACGGATGGATGGCTCTGTGCCAGACCTGGGCAACCTGGAGGAGCCAGAAAAATTCTGAGAAACAGCCCACCAAGAGCTCAGAAACAACGTACCCAGACTGGTGCGGGAACAAACAATCTGAACAGGCCAGTTGCTAATGAGAAGATTAAATCAATAATCAGACCCTGGAGCCGACGGCTTCACTAGTCAACCTTACCAAACCCTGGAGGAACGAACACCAGTCCTGTACAAGCTGTTCCAAGAATCAGAGCGGGAACACCCCCAAAGTCACTATACAAGGCCAGCACTGCCCTGACCCTAGAGCTAGAAAAAGCCAATGTAAAAACACTACAGGCCAACATCCCTGATGAACAAAGATGTACCCCCCTCCCCCTCCCCCAAAAAAGCTAGGAGACCAAAGTCAGCAGCACGTGAGAAGGACCACTCACCAGGAGCAAGTGGGTTTATTCCAGGGAGGCAGCGACGGTTCAGCATCCCCAAACCAGTCACTGTGACACGCCTCCTCAGCGAGAGGAACGTTAAAAATCCTACGATCATCTCGACAGATGCAAAAAAAGCACTGACAAAATTCAACATCCGTTTGTGGTAAAAACTCTTAACCGACTGGGCAGAGAAGGAGTGCGCCTCAACGTAACAGGCCACACGAGACAAGCCCACGGCTGACGTCCTGCTTACGGTGGACGGCCGACAACTTGCCCCGGAGGCGGGGTGCAAGGACAGCGTGCTCACTCCGCGCACCGCGCCCACTCCGCCCCGCGCTGGCGGGCCCGGCGACGGGCCTGCAGGCAAGAAATGAAAAGCATCAGAATTGGAAGAGGTAAAATTGCCTCCATTTAAAGATGACCGTTTTATATATACCACGGGATTCTAAAGATCCCACCAAAAAACCGTTCGGTAAATCCAATAAAGGTCCAGGATACAAGATGCACACACAAAAGGCAGTAGTGTGTATGTGTGTATGCTAACAGTGAACTATCTGGGGAAAAAAAGAGAGAGAAAAGGTCCCACGTAGGACAGCATCAAAACCAACAAAACACCCAGGAACCAGTCTCACCGCGATGGCGAGGGACGCCGACACTGAGTGTGCCACGGAGCGAATGAGAGGCACTGAAGATGCACACGCGTGAGCCGGAAGGCATGCCCGGCTCATGGGCCGGGGGGCGTGACGTGGGTAAAAACCCGCACTCCTCAAAGTCACCGCAGAGCCACACGATGGCTCTCAGGATTCCCCGGCATCTTTTCCTCTTACGCAAGCAGGAGAAACAGCCCTAATTTTCAGGGGGGCACACAAGACTCTCAACCCCGGCAGCCGTGACCAGACAGCACAAGGCAGGGGACAGCAGCCCCCCTGGCTCCGAGGTGTTATCATCAGAGCGCTGCAGTGACCCAAACGCTGTGGCCCTGGGAGCTGCGGTGCTGGGAGCTGCAGCAGCAGGGGCAGTGCAGGAACGGCACCGAACAGCCACCAGCCGGCGGAACGGAACCGGGAGCCCAGGTTCAGTGAGCGCACGCCGACAGAGTGCAGTGGTGGTGGGCAAAGGAGCCGAGGACACTGGCTGGAGAAGAGGGGTCTCTTCACCAAACAGCGCTGGGAAAACTGGTGTTCACACCCATCACAAAAATTAACTCAAAGTGGATTAAAGCCTTGAATGGAAGACTGAAAACCGTAAAACTCCTAGAAGAAATTGTAGGAAGTAAATATCTTTTTTTTTTAATTTATTTTTACCTTGTTTATTGAATTTGTTGGGGCAACACGGGTTAATAAAGTTATATAGGTCTCAGGCATCTTATTCCACAGCACACCATCTCTACACTGTTGTCCATGCTGTCGTCGGTGTGAGTTATGTTTTTACTGTTTTGTGTAACCCCTCCCCCTCCCCCCCAGCTCTGCCAACCCCTCCCCCCTGACGGCTGTCAGCTGGTTCTCCACCTGGGAGTCGGTTTCCGTTCCGTTTGTCAGCTTCTTTTCCTCATCCGACTCCCCGTGTGAGTGAAATCACACGGTAGGAAGTGAGCTTCTTGACACTGGCCTTGGCGAGGATTTTTGGGTCTGACCGCTAAAGCACACACCAGCACGTCAAAAATAGACAAGCGGGATATAACATCCAACTAAAAAGCTTCTACGCAGCAAAGGAAACCATCAACAAAATATAAAGACGACCCCTGGAATGGGAAAAAGGGTTTGCAACCGTGTATCTAACAAGGGGTTAATATCCAAAATGTATACAGAACTCACACAACTCAATAGGGAAAAACAAACAAACCAAACCAAAAAACCACATTTAAAAACGGGCCAAGGGCCTCAACAGACCTTTTCCCAAAGAAGTCATGAATCACCAAGGGCATGAAACGGTGTGCAACGTCCCTCACCACGCCCCTCAAAACCGCGGTGAGACATCACCGCGCACCTGTCAGGACGGCTACCGTCAGGAAGAGAGGTGACAAAAGCTGGGGAGGAGGTGGACCAAGGGGACTGTGAATCATGCAGCTGCTGTGGACAACGGTACGGGGGCAGGGGAGGCTCCTCGAAATGTCAAAAGGAGAACGACCCCGGGACCCAGCATGTGGGGGGGCTTTGCCTGCAGGGACCCCCCAGCCGCCGAGGATGAGATAAGTCTACGGAGACATGATCTGCTTGGGGAGGAAAGGTGGCCGATCTCTCAAAGGAGAAGGGCCAGGAGCCTGTTCCTCAATGGGCTTTTATTAGATTCACTTGCACAGGAATACAGATAAAGCTCATCAATCATGGTCAGGCAGTAAGGGTCAAATGATAGATAACATACAAAGAACTCTGAGGGCCTATTCTGAGTCAGGGTCTAATAGCTAAAGGGCTGCAAAACTTTGGGAGACAAACTCATTTCCTGCTCGGACCTTTATCATTTAATTAAGAACATTCTTAGCAAAGCAGGTTTCACAGGATTTTACACATTCTTTCTCAGGCCTGATCGCCTGGGGAGCCCGCCCTTTCCAGCACAGGCTGCACCACCCTCTGTCCTTGTTTCAGGCTTAAGTCAGGCAGGGGAAGGAAGGCAGCCAAGAGATTAGGAGACTTCTCCCAGACAGAATGAGGACTCAGGCTTTGTCAAAGCTGAGGGGCGGGGGTCCATCACCCCCTTTAGCTGTAGCCCCCAAAGTCCTTCCCTGGGGGCCTCCCACATGATCGTGCCTGTCTTATGTCGCTCCCCCCTTGGGGAATCTTACCCATCACTGACTAACCAACCAAGTACTGGGGGCCAGTTATGGTTTACTTCTTTGAGACAAGAAGTAAAAGGAGCAGAAGTGGTGCTCCTGCCAGGGAGATAAGCTTTGTCTCCTCGGTGGCTCACGGTCTGAAGGTCGCCCACTCAGCCTTAGCCTTCAGGGGGGTTACAGCTCCTGAAACCAGGCAGGGCGGCTCCCAACACCAGCAGGTCCACCTCTGGGAACACACTCAGAGGAAACGGAAACACCGTGTCTCCATCTCCGTGTTTGTAGCAGCTTCACATACAAGACGTGGAGCATAAATGGATGTAGAAGTTACACACACACACACACACACACACACACACACACTGAGATACCGCACCATAGAAAAGGCAACCCTACCACTGGAGACGGAAGGCCCTTAAGGGCCTTCTATAAAGACACTGTCCGGTCTTGTATGTGGAGTCTAAAACAAAAGCAGCAGCCAAACTCATAGAAAAAAGAGACCGGATCTGGGGTCACCAGAGGCAGGGGGCGGGGACACGGCAAAGGTGGGCAGAGGGACAAAGTGCCAGTTCCAAGGCCAGCGAGGACTGGGGTGTAACCGCACACAGTGACGACAGTGAACACTGCCGAGTGAGGCGCATGAACCTCGTTAGAAGCAAATCTTAAAGAGTTCTCATCACAAGGAAACCCCCTCCCTTTTTTGTATCTGTGAGAACATGGATGTTAGCTAAACTCACCGCGGCCATCACGTCACTACACTGGTAAGTCAAATCACTGCACTGTGCACCTTAGACTTCCACAGTGCTCTTCGTCAACTGCATCACACACACACACACACACACACACACAACCACACACACACAACAGGAAGAAAGGAAAACCTTCAGATCTCCTCCGTGAGCCGTCTTTACAGGCCCCCATCGCTCCCCCTCAAGCCCGGGCTTCAGTTAAGGCAGAGGCAGCGGAAAGAGCGACCTCCCCCAGGAAGGCAGGGACAGGGGTGACCCGAGGCGCCTGCTCTCAGGCCTCTGTGCACCTCGCCCCCCCACCGCCAGCACCAGCCCCCAGCACTGCGGTTCAGTGGTGGGGGCCGCTGTTCACCCAAAAGGACTGAACACAATCGCTTCTTTGAGACAAGAACTCATGAAAGACACTAAAAACGTAATAAAATATGGAGAAAACGAGCTTCATGGCCTCTGGTGTGCATACCTAGTGAACAGTTTTGAACACCTTATGCAGACCAGTCAGCTAGACGGTGGGTGACCTTCACCTTGGGCACAAGCCCGGGACACCATCACCCCTGTCTTCTCCATCATGTCCCAGCCTTTCAGTTTTGAATCACCAGCCCCCCAGTTAGAGGAAAAAGAAAAACAAAACAAAACAAAACCAGGAATCAGCTTTCCTTCACAGAAGAAATTATTTTATTCCATTTGGAGGACCCAGTATTCATTCTTTGCCGGGCAAAAGTCATGTTCCCACAGGACACTGGGCCCCACGCAGTGAAGTCAGTGATGACAAATGGAACCCTGTGGCAACCAGGATTTAGGGCATTTTTTATTATTTTAGAAGTGGCGTTGCCTCACAAAGGCGGACCGGTGAGGCAGACACCAGGCAGGGCGGCATTCAGACAACCGGACTGCGCCATCTGCCGGGCAGACAGGGAGCCCCGCTGGTCAGAGCCTGTCGCCCTCCGCGGCAGGCGGGCGGGGACCACTGCCGACAGCCCAGCGCCCAGAGCCCAGCCTGGGGCTCCCGCCCCGCAGGTGCGCCAGCCGAGGCCAGCGCTCTCCTCCCCAGCACGTCCGTCTGTCTGGGGGCCGCACAGCGCTGCCGTGAAGACACTCAGCCCTCCACAAACTCGCGTCAGCGTTTCTCCTGCTGCGCCTTCCAGGGTGTGCGGGCGGCCCGAGGGCGCAGGTGGTTCGGCTCCACTGCCATGCATTCGGCGAGGACGGGGCATGCTCACTCGACGAGGGTGGTTCAGTGAGGACACACTGGTGGCTTCTGGAACGGGTCCGATCCCACAGGACAGTCAATGCAGCACCCCAGGAGGTGGCTGTGCCAGCGGATGTGGGTCACAAGCCCCGTCGCTACCTGAGCCTGTAGCCACAGCAGCCACAGCTAGTTCCCTACCCAGGCGGCTGGCCTGAGAGGGCCGTCCAGAGAGGGGGTGGCTGCCACTGGGATCGCCGCTTTGGGGGTGTGCCCCGGAACTGCACTCATCGCAACCGAGCCGTTGGACACAGCTGTTGCGTTCCAGCTCCCAGGACTCTCCCCTGTGGCTTGTATTTTAAAATAGACCAGATAGAACACTGGTAAAACGACGCCCACGAGAAGCATGATACAGACAGCATTCCACCACTGAATCCCACAGTCCGCCCCATACGCCGGCGTCTTCGGGGGGGCCGGGGGCAGCAGCTGATCGGGGGACTCCACGCAGTAACCGTCCCTCCCAAAGATTTCCGACCGCGCTGCGTGCTCGATGTTCTGGTCGATGCCCTTGAAGAAATCCGCCAGCGGGCTGGCGGTGGCGCTGGCAGCTGCCCCATCCTGGTCCGGCTGCTCCTCGAAGGTCACCCTGGTCTCGGAGGACGGGCCGAGGAGGGGTCTGAGTTCTTTGTGGGTCTCTGTTAGGATCCCATGGTTTTTCACTGGAATCTTAATAGATTTCAAAGCATACAAGTCTTGTTCCCGGATGAAGTTGTTGGCTTTCTTGATATCTGCAACCTAGGGAACCATGGAGACAAACATCACGAAATACACAGGGCTCCTTAGAACCAGTATCCCAACAGCAGCCCCGAGCCTCTGGGGAGGGCAGGCCACGCCCCCTGCTCCAGCCCATCAAGAACACTGGGAAGCTGCGCCTACACGTAAAATGAGTTTAGGCTGAAGAACGGTGTGTTTTGGCCTTAATGTACAACTTCATTATCAAAATTTCCTCTACATTTTCATCTTTGAACAACTTAAGATCAGTTTCGGAAAAGACTCTCGTGTTTGTTTACAGCGTGGCTGCAACCAAATGCTTTCAGGTGGAACACCAGCCGGGCGGGCCAGTGCAGGTCTGCTGCTGTTAACTCCTGAGGCAACAGCGCCCCCATCTGGCTGCCCGCCCTCCCGCAGCGGGACGCACGCAGTTCGGCCGCTGCTGTGCACGGGGTCAACGTGCAAACAGAGCCCCGGCCAGCTGGCCAGGTGTGCAGAACAGCGTTTACCAACAATAACCTTTTAAGAGGTGTGCCTCCAGCATCCTATCACATTTTCTTTTGCACAAGCGCCGCATGGCATACGGACTTAGTTTTTAAATAAAAGTGACCCAGAGTTAATTCACTTGGAGGGTTGCACAACACTTAGGATAATTAGAAGCACATGGGGAATCAGGACCCAAGTGGGAAACTAGGGACTGAAACCTTCTATTCCGATATTAGTGCTGGAGGAGAAAGGAACAGCACTCCGAGTTTTACAAAGTAACAAAGTTCGCCATAAACACCTCCCATAACCCACTTTAAGATTTAAGAAGGAGGGACGTAAATCAAAGATAAACCCTTCCTCGAGCTAATGTCAAAGAAAATCAGAGGCGGGCTCCGCAGTTTTAACACTTACGTCCACTTGGAGAGTGTAAGCACGGCCAACGGACCTTGACACAAAGTCTAATCTGAGGCACCGCCGCCGTCTTAATTATTTAGCAGGTGTTTTCAATCATCTAATTAAACTGGGGTGAGGGACATTTTTAATTGATGTCCTGAAACTGAAGCACAGGTGCTTGGGACCGCTGTGCCTCTGTCTCTGACAAACTCACATCACATGTATTTAATGTGGACAGGAAAACTCATCACTTATTCGAAGCACGATACAGTCTTCACGGACCCATTACACGTCACCGTTCGAAGAAACTCAGTGCGTGTATTCAGCTCTTTGCAGGGTGCGGCTCCTTTTTCTGCTCATGCTCTGGAAGCCATGCAGTGAACCCACAGAGGCCGACCGGAAGGGTCAAACATGTACATTTCAGTACGATTCGAGGGGCCTGCCTGTTTACCTCCCCAATACCCCACAGGTGTGTTCAACCATTTGCACCTTGTTAGACAGTGACAGACAGCTGAAGGAGAAAAAGATTTTTTAAATATCAACAGATTGCTCAGGTAGCCGTAGAGAAAGCCACAGACACTTGTAGCATGGTGTCAGCAAAGCAAAATATACAGTTTCAAACCAAGAGAAAAAGGCAGCAATTCTGTAAATACTTTCCTACTTACTTTGCCACTGTTAATCACTCTGAATGCTAAAAACATAATTAAAGAGAGAGAGAGACAGGGTTATATGGATCCACAGCATACAAAAGCTCGATCATGCAGTCTCAAAAGGGAGAAGACAAAACTTTGCCAACGAAATAAGTTACCACCAGCAGGAAAGGGTCAGAAATTGAGAAGCAGCCAAAAAAGCGAGCATGCCAAAGGAATCTTGGATAAAGTCTGCCCAGCATCTCCGGCCCCACTAGGTCTTTTTTTTTATTTTTAAGATTTTATTTATTTTTAGAGAGGGGGGGAGGCAGGGAGAAAGAGAGGGAGAGAAACAGTGATCAGTTGCCTCTTGCAAGCCGCCAATTGGAGACCTGGCCCACAACCCAGGTATGTGCCCTGACGGGGAATCAAACTGGTGACCTTTCAGTTTGCAGGCCAGCACTCAATCTATGGAGCCGCACTGGCCAGGGCTGGCCCCACTAGGTCTTAAATACGGTTTGGAGGGACAGGGAAGAGCAGACATATTTTGCAGAAAGGGGAAATCCCCCTCACCCGAGATTCCTAACCCTCACTTGTTATGAGCCCAGACTTCAGGGCTGAAAGTACTTCCACCTGCCTTCCATCTCTGGCTAAACAGGGGAGTCCTAGTGCTTCAAGAGGTCTCTCCCAACCACCTGCTGAGGTCGGGGAGGGTCAGCAGGGGCTCCCACGCATCAGTGAGGCCCCACATGGGTGGAAGCCGAGGGCCACTGGCCCTTTCCCCTGTGGGATGTCTTACTTTGCAGCCATACTGGAGAGCGAGCTTGTTGAGGCTGTCCTCCTGGACCAGCTCCCGCTGCAGCAACACGACGTCCCCTGCTCCTGGGTGGGGAGGGTGGTGGGCACCCTTCTTCTGGCGCTCCTTGGCCCGCGGCCGCAGAGCCACACGGTGGGACTCTTCCTCGGAGGAGTCCCCGGGGTCCCCATCACCATTCTCAAACACGTAAACTTGGCTGCTCCGAGTCCCACAGACCATGGCTGGGCCTTGGAAGGTCTTGGTTAACACTCCCTTCTGCCTCATTTTCTTAACTGAAAACCAAACCCCACGGTTAATTCCACACAAGGCATCGTATCCCTCTGACCACATTCAAGGTAAGCGCCTTGTCAGAGATGACTCCTTTCCCAAATCATGGTAAATACTCAAAAAATACCAGCAGTACAAAACAATGTGCTTACGCTGAAATGCAGCATGAGAGATAAGCAAGCAAAAACACCATTTTTTCCTATTTGCATATTTTGCACAGAAAATACAAGAACCCCTCTGTATCTTTCCTTAGTCGTCATCCACACCTGTGCCTGTGACTCCTTGAAACCACAAAAGGAACAGAAAAACTTACCTCTGTGGTCGCCGAGCTGTAAAGAAGTGGCTGGGAATCTTAACTCAGAACCGTGGTACGAAAAATTCTCGTCCCACTTTACACATTTCAAGGTACCATCATTAAAGCCATTTGCTTAGAAGAACTAAGAATTCGGCACTCTGATTCTGAAACATTCTACGTTATATATTACCGAAGGCAAGTTACGGGAAAATTCCTGCCAACCTCAGAAATTCGTCCGGTTTCTCACAAGTCCCTCTGCCTTCGTTTCACCCCACGTCTGGTTTTTATTTTCACTGCCAGCCAAGTGCGAAAGCCGCAATACCCGCTTTCCCCTCTCTAAACCACTCCGATGCGGGCAGACATGAAATCTCAAACACGGAGAATGACAGCCTCACAAGTTGTCTCCGGGACCTTGGGAGCCGCAGAGGGGCGGCCCGTTCGGAGATAGCACGTGGCCCCAGCGCGACACCCTCCCACTCCGCGCCCCCACTCCCGCCCTCCAGGGCCCCCGCCCCACCCCGAGGATCACCTGCGGCGGCCCGCCGTTGGGGCCGTGCCCACCGGTCCGAACTCCGAGCCTACAGGGGCCCCGGAGACTCCCAGGCCTCAGTTTCCCGCAAAGCCTCTTCCGTGACAATAAAAACCCGGGGCGGCCCGCCTCTGCGCTTAGACAGGCGGGGCCCCAACTTACACAAGGCAAGACCTCTGACCTCCAACCCCAACAACCTCGGGCCAGTCTCCCACGGTAGCGGCCGCCGCCGCCCCTCCAGCGGCCGCCCCTCCAGCTGCAGGAGGGTGGCCTGTCACCGAGCCTAACAGCAAGGCAAACTCACCGCGTCGCAAAGGCCTCGCTTAGCCCCACCAACTAGCACCAAGACACCCTCAGTGCCCGAGCAAACCCCGGTACCTCAGCTCCCAGGATTCGCCGCGACGCGCTGCCGGCGCTGCAGGCACGACTGCGCACGCTCGGTGGCTACGAGCGTCAGGGAACCTCGGGGGGTGGGGACCGCAAAAGCAGCCAATGAAATCAGCGGTGGGCGGACACCGCAACAGACCTGGCTGTCCTGATAAGTCAGTACGATTCCTGCGGAGAGCGAGGCTGGGAGGGCGAGGCACGGGCCTAGGGGCGGGGCCTGGGGCGGGGGCGGAGCACCGAGCTGGGGCGGGGCCCCGCCCCCTCCCCCCTCCCGCCACCGCTCTCCTATTATCCGCGGGTTGCAATTTACGGGAACGCCTCACTCCCAACTTTCAGGTGAACCTTTGGTCCCTCTTTGTACGTCAATAATCTGGAATAAGAGGGCGGATTCACAGTACAGGGGGTGTCACGGGCTTGAGACCCCTGGCAGAGCAGGGTATCTTCGCTCAGGTGAACGAGGGGTCCTCCGGTGGAGGTTGCTCCTCCCCGCCCCGCCCATGAGGATAAAAAAAGAAAAGCCCACCAATGGAAACCCTGAACCACAACAACACGCACCCCAAAATTATAATTTATCCAATGTCGGATGGCAGAGGACTCCTTAACCTTAAGAGTGATGGGTGAACGCACACACGAAAGCACGGACGTTTAAAACGTCAATCCAAAAAAAAGGAAATCCACATGAAAAGCAAAACAGTAACTGGAGCAAAATAAATGCAACAAATAGCATACATGATTAAAATCCTTATTTGAGAGAGACCTCACCAAATTGACAAGAAAAGCACCGAGACCACAGGAGATGAAACGTGGCCTGAGACGGCAGGTGTGGGGAGAGGCCCTGCTGGTGGGGTGTCCGGTGGGATGTTTGTGGCTTTATGTAGCAGAAACTTCTAAAATGTGTGTGTATATTCTTTGGTTCCGTCTCCCTGGTTTAGGGATTTAGCAAGGACGTAATGAGGGTATTTAAACAGACTCGCTGCAAGACTGCGGTTAATGGTGAGAAATGGGAGAAACCGGAGGCCTCCCACAGCGGGGGATTTGGTTGAATTCCTTGAGCTCACGGACGGACAATAACGCACTCATTTCAAATCATCTTGTGGAAGGTGTTTATGAATAAAAGGCACTGTTTTGAAAACCTCTGGAAAACAAGGTGAAGGACAAATACCCCACAGCATCACCCCACGTCCATCCGAGGGTTATAAAGAATGTTCTAGTGGTTAATTGCTTTATTTATGTGCATTTGCACTTTTAACATTGTCTCTGCTGCACACACTTAGTCTCCTTACGAGGAGGTGGGGTAACTAAAGCCACGGGTGCTGAGTTCAGAGGTCCGACTCTGAATCCAGTGCCACCTCGCAGGACCTATCAGAAGATTCGGTGGCCTCGGTTTGCTCACCTATGACATGGGACCTTAAAGGCGGTGCCTTTACCTGTCTGGCGCTGGGCAGGTACCTGGCATTCAGCGAGCATTCCAGGAAGGTGGGGCAACATCATGACCAAGGGCGAAACCATAAACACATAAAAGTCCCGTTTGAGTGAAAAGCACATTGCAGCCCTAACTCAGGTTGCCGGAGGTGCTCTGTGGGGGTTCTGTTGAGGCGCTGATCAGCTCTGATCTGGGGACAGGTTTCTCCAGTGAGTCTGCAGTCAGTTCGTCAGCAGCTCTGGATTGTCCCCGGGGCCAGGATGTGGGGAGGCGCCTGCAAACAGGATCCTGATGAACTGGGCAAACTGTCCTAAGTCCCGTCAGCGAGAGCCACCGCCCTTCAGACCCGGTGAGCGCCCACACGGGAAGCTCAGCGCCTGGCCCGAGCTCCCAGGACATCGCAGGCTGACTTCTGCCTGGTCGTGCGCTTCCTGCTTGGAGTCTGCGGCTGCCCCATCAGCTCCACCTTGGTGGGAACGCAGTCGCCAACCCAGAATGTTTAAAGGGATCGCAGGCACATTTAACAGCCCCCCTTTGTCCCTCTCAGGAGCAAATCCTCAGCGCTCCCCAGCCCCCCACTTTCCAATCACCATGCTTTCTCTCCCACACCAACACTTATGCTCAGCTCTGCCTTCCTTGGGCTCAGCTCTGGCTTCCTTGGGCGTGCCTGGGGATTACGCCAGATTCGAAGGGCTCAACTCATCGCCTCCACACCCCATCTCCTTCCCAGGCCCCTGGGAACAGGTAGAGACTGACCTTATTTATAATTTTGATGTGAATCACATGCTAAAATGGTACTATTTTAGATATGTTAGGTTACAGGAAATATTATTAAAATCAAGTCACAAATTATTACTCTGAGTTAGATGCCTAGGAATCGGATTGCTGGGTTGAAGAGTATATGTAAATTTAATTTTACTAGGTGTTGCCAGGGTGCTTTAAAAGGTGCCACAACAATTCACATCTCAGCAACAACCTTTAGAGAACCCTTTCCCTGCAACACACATTAATACCTGTTTTATCTTTATCAGTCTTCTAGCTATGAAGTGAATACACTGTTTAGTTCACATTTTTCTAACTACTAACTAGTTTGAGGACCCTTTTTTGGGTGGATCATTTAGATTTGCTCCTCTTTGAATTGCTGTGTTGTGTTAACTGGATCAGGTTCAGCTGTATATGGCATAAACCTCCCCCAAATAGCAGAGGCTATGTTTGTCTCGGCCCCCACGTTCTGAGATGGCTGCTGGAGTGCCAGACATCACATCCTCATTCCAAACAGCAGGAGAGAGGCAGGAACAAAGAGGGCACACTCCTTCCCTTTAAGGAGACCTTTTGGACATTACACATAATACTTCTGCTTGTACATATCGAGTCAGAACTTAGTCACATGGCTTTACCTAGCTTCAAGGGAGGCTTACAAATTTAATTTTTGAGTTGATTCCCTAAATAAAATCAGGAGTCTATTAATGAGAAGGACAAGGGCAGATAGTAATTGGAGTAAACAACTGCCTTCTTTTCCACCATTTTTTTCATTTGGTTATTTCCCTTTTTTTCAATACTGTATTATGTTGAACTGTATAAAATTATTGATATTTTATTCTTTTGGCCAACAAAAACAGTAATTCCAGAGGATGCAACCCAGTGGGTATGGACCCTTTGCCTTTTTCTCTCACCATCACGGCAAATTTCTTCTTCCAAAGTTGATACTTGTCCATCAAATTCGTTGTCCCTTTGCCATTCAAAAACTGAAAGTTTTTATATACTCAGAGGTGTTTACTTCTATGGCCTTGGGGTTGCCTGTTTCGGCAGAGAACTTTTCATGTAGATGTAATCGCCTATATTTTCTTCTAAGATTTGAATTGTATTACTTTTTAAAAACCATTTAAACCTTTCACTGTTCTGGAATATATATACATATTTGCATATGGGGTGAGGTCGGATCCAGCCTGATAATCTTCCAGCTGCGTGGCCCGCTGAGCCAGAAGCGTGTATTAAGTAGCTCCTCCTTTTCCTGCTGAGTGGAAAGTCCACCTCTGATAAACATTCAAGGCATACCCACAGTGGGATCCCTCTGGGGACTTTTTGGGAGATGTCAACTTTTCAACTTGACTTGAAACTACTCAGTCTCCCACCCCCTCTCTCTGCCACTTCAAAGGGTGGCTGGTGTGTGACTGGCGATGCTCTGGGGGAGGTCAGATGGGAGACATGTGGTCGTCTTCCCAAGTCATGCACGCTTTCCTTTTTGCATAACCCGATTCAAGTCCTTGGCCCATGTCACAGGTAGTTTTGCAACGAGCCCAGCATCAGTTTGGGTGATGAATGGCCCGCTGATGAATGGGTGATTCATACTTTTAAGTGAATCATGCTCCTGCTTCCTTGCAATGTGCTCCGATAGCCACCCCTGGGCCCCATTGTTAGAGGGCAGATGTTGGGTCTTGCGCGCCTCACCCACATCTAGAGCCCTGTCTGCACGCAGCAATGGTAGTGACCACACAGCAACCAAGTGCAAGGCCAGGCGGCTTCACTGGTGAATTACCTCGAATGTTTAAAGGATTAAGAACGTAATTTGTGTGTCACAGACTCTACCAGAAACATAGAGCAGAGAACCCTCCTGAGATCACTCTATGAGGTCAGTATTACACTGATACCAAAACTGGACAAAGACAGCATAAGACAAGAAAATTACAAACCAGGCTGTGGCTGGTGTGGCTCAGTGGATTGAGCACTGGCCTTCGAATCAAAGGGTCACTGGTTCGATTCCCAGTCAGGACACAGGCCTGGGTTTCGGGCCAGGTCCCCAGTCTGGGACGTGCGAGAGGCAACCACACATGGATGTTTCTCTCCCTCTCTTTCCCTTCTCCTCTCTCTAAAAATAAATAAATAAATAAATTAATTAATTAATTAAATTACAAACCAATGACACTTCCAAATATCAATGCAAAAATTCTCAGCAGAATACTAGCAAACTGAATCCAGCAGCGCACAGAAAGGATTATACATCACGATACACCGAGACTGTCCCCGGTATCAGCGCACAGAAGGTCGCTTCAGTGTGTGACAATCAACCGATGTGACACGGCATAATAATAGGATGAGGGACAAAACAACACGATCATCTCAACAGACACAGAAAAGGCACCTGGCAGAATCCAACGCTCTTCCATGATTCAGCGAGCTGGGAATTAAAGGGAACTTTCTCAACCTGACCCATGCCATCAATGGGAACTCCACATCTGACGTCATACTTAGTGATGAAAGGCTAAAAGCTTACCTCTTATGACAGGGAACAAGACAAGGATATCGGCTCTTGCCACTTCGATCCAACACTGCAGTGGAGGTTCTGACTGGGGCAGTTAGGCGGAAAAAAAAATAAAAGTCAGTAAGGTTGGAAACAAAGAAAGTAAAACTAGCTCTACGTGCAGATGACATA